TTGACAGGTAATTACCTCGCCTTAAATTAATTTATAAATTAATAAATAAAACACAAAAGCAATTTGTGCTTTGACTGCTGCTGTACTTTGTAAAAAGAGAATTTGAAACAAGTAATGCGATAGTTCTTTCTTATATTGGAATTTAATTAGAAAATATACGCAACAGAGAGTGTGATACGAGATACAATATATGAAACGGGAACGAGTGAAATGAAAATAATGAAATATAAGATTTTAGTGTAGGTCGTGGCATCCAGTGTTCGTTGGTTTTATGAATTTAATACACGGTACGAAAAAAGAACGGGAAAAAACAGATAGTAAAAAAAGGTTCTTTTCGCTGGCACTATACACAAGCGATCGATTCGAAGTTAATAGGAGATTGGTGAAGTTATAGATATATCGTTAAATAATAACGGATTTTCACCAACTTCACAGTAGAAGACTGTATTTTGGTATATATGTGTTGGATTGATTGGTCTTCTTGTCCAATATGGGATGCGGTTAGGCGACAATGAAAAAACATCTCGGTGCATAGGGAAATTCGTACCTGAGGTGAGTTTCTTTATTTAAATAGTGGTGTCAGTCGAAAGTCATATCGAGAATGGGAATTTATTCGTCATTTATTATTTTAGGTGTTTTTTTTNTGAAAGTGGCTTACCCCCGACATTAATACAAGTTTCTGCCCTTCTCACCAAAGAATCCCGTATCCGTTGAAAAATACCAGGAAAATAAAATAAATTAATAATAAATACAATTCTTAACAAACTTCATTTAACGCCTACGGGACTCAGCAAATTGCATTTTTTTGCAGAAATTTGCAAATTTCTCGAAAACTGTGGCTTCTAGCGTTGTTAAGGAAGTGTGCCTTCTTTGCTTAAAAAGGTGTACAAACACGGTTTATTCATAAAAAATCGCAGAAGTCTTCTGTCAAAAAAAAAAAAAGTTATGGTAAATTAAAATTAACAATGCTCTAAGTGCTGCACAAAAATTAATACGAAATTATGATTTCTAGCCTCAAAAAAAAACCCCGGTTACCAAATTTTGTGCGAAAAATTGATATTTCGTAAAAGTTATTTAAGAAAATAGAAAATAAAATTTTAATTTCAACACTGCGTATCTCAGAAACGAAGCATTTCCGGACAAAGGTTTATATAAACTTTTTTTCTTAGAATTAACTCAGGAATATCCCCACATAAATATTTTAACGTACTTAGGTTACACCCTGTATAGTATATTAATTTCGAATAATTTGAATGAGCCCTGAAGGTGACGCCACTTACGTGTTACTTGTGTAATCTCGACAGCGAATGGTTAGGGACCCTCTAGATGCTACAGAAGAACGTTCTCTGAAAAAAGGGCCCTAGCCGGCGTGACCTATCCAAGACAGGAGGGGTCTCGCGAACTGATCGGACTTTTGGGCCGCTTCAGCGGTCCCTGTCCGGGATGACGGGGAAAGGGCCCTGTATCATGAAGACACGACGCAGGTGAAGAGCGTTAATTTCGCTCGACACCGCTCCGTCCGAAGTCATAAATCCTACCAAGGATATTGGCACGCAGAAGACCGTGCTTGCGTGGGGTATAGAAGTTACCGACTACCGTGATCAACAAAGCGGTTCTGCAAACTTCCACTGCATGAAGTCGGGATGTGATGACATGTGACTCCTGCAATTATTTTTAATGCGGATAACTAGGGCGCATATTTGGTAATGGGTACTCTCTGTGTACGTACTATATTCCAGGTGCATTGTAGAGATGGGCTAAACTACGCTTTTTGCGGAGCAGTGACACCTGCGACTGCTCCGCCAACAAAGCAGTGACAAATAGCTGCGATTTTTCGGAACAGCTCCTGGTAGCGCGCGCATATATTATTCCTACCATGATAAATTCCTTTATTTTTCGCGTCACAGTTCATAAATGGATACCTGACGTGCTTAATAGCGGCTAACGTTAGGGATACTTTCGTTATGTGTTAGTTTTTCAAACATGCGTTTTCGTAGATTTAACTCAATTTGTTATTGCGCATTTAAAATTTGAATTTGATATAGCGTAGTGGTCTGTTATTTTGTCCTAACTTATGTTTGAGACACAGTGTTACCAGATCTCCTGTTTTCACTCTCACTCTCCTGTTCTACTGTTTTCACAATGAGATCTCCTGTTTTTAGTCTCAATGTCTATTCTTCTGGGTTCTCTATGAAATCTTCTGTTGATTATACTAATTTTCCTCAGAATAAGAATATTTTAGTACGACACTGTTCTCTAACGGCACTGTGTTCGTCACTTGTTAATATTTTCAGTCCTGTTATATTTTCTGTAGCCGAGTTCATGCAAGATCTTTTACTGATCTTGCAGTTCATGTACATATTTAAATTTTAAATCCGCAATTCGCGTTTATATGAACTGGGCCTAACAGAAGGCGTTTCGTTTCGTTCGTTTACTTCAGCGGGATTCTGGGATTTTTTATTTTGACAACTGACAGTTGTCAAATCACGTGACGTACCGATGTAATTGCAAACTATTAAACGAACTCCTACATTTATATATTATATAAATATAATATTTTGCTATATTTTGTGCATGTGTTCCTCTATTAAAAAATATATTTATTAAAATCTCCTGTTGAAAAAAGAAATCTCCTGTTTTTTTGTCTACATTTCTACTGTTGACAGAAATTTCCATCTGGCAACACTGGACTGAGACACGACGCCGACCGCCGACACCTGCATTGGATATTTGTGTCCTACTTCTTTTTTTGTTTTTACATGTGCCGTCTTTTTTTGATGAGATTCAACTGACATCGGAAGAACTATACTTGCCCTGCGTTTCGTATACTTTCAATGGTAATAAGTATATTACCATTGTAGTCTACTCTAGGGAGGTGTAGAGCGAACCGCGCACCTGTTGAACATAGTTTAGTGCACATAGTTCAAAATCGGGGTAGGTGCACCTGAACCACAAAAAAAAAAAGGTAGATGCATCCGTCCGTTGTCTGCACACGACCACGATCAAGGTTGTACAGACCATTGTCGGAACAAATAAGTAATATTATATCAAATAACAAATTAAAATCATAACAACCAAACCCAAACAGTACTGCTAGGAACAGGAAAAACTTAATTAAGTATATTATATTATATATGCAACGAATATATATCAATATATCAGGATAGGTGGTTTTTTCTTTGCGATACGGGGCCACAGATTGATATTCCGTTTCAAGTTCTTTATAAAAATTGAAACCTAGGAGCCGACGACGGTGCTGGAGATTATTTGTGCACTCACAGTATACAGTGTATTCTACCCACCCCACCAGTAAATTAATAAGTATAAATGTGTAAGCAATTAATTGTAAGTTAATGTGGATTGAGTGTTCATATACGTATAGCGACAAACTACACAATATAGCAGATTATATCTGAATAGTAGGACCGTTGAAAAAAATTCTAATTTGCACATTGAATTTAAAATATTATTACTAAATATTAACTTTATAATTATATATGATGAATTATGATAGAAAATTACATTTTCAATTCCCTTATTTGGACCCATTTTAATTCCTCACTGCTAGAATCTTGGCGATAATTGACAGATGGTTATTCTTAACTAATAAATATTGTTCCATTACATATTCTTAATAGAACAAAGACAAAAAACATATAGAAATGTTATCGTTTTGGTTTCAAAGTTTGTATGTGTATACACTATCACTACACATATAACCATGTTTACCCTACGCGCGATGTACAGAGCCATGTAGATTTATTTACGTCCGATATAATTTTTTTCTCAAATTTTGAACTGATTATGGAGGGATAATCAACATGACTATAGTTATGTTTGGGCGATGCCTGTTTTTTCATTTATTTTTTAGGTGTTGTTAGTTTCATATATTTTCGTTTCTTATTTGAACCTTGGAGTTTTCTGTTGTAGTTCTAAAGTATGCTAATATTGAAAACGATTTGTTAAAATTAAACATGTAATATAAAATATACCTCTGGGGTGAATATATTATTGAAGAAAAAATGGTGAGTTGGTGCCAAATAGATGTCATTATTTTCTGGGCACTTGTAGTGACAGACTGAATATTCTTGGACATGTGCGTGCTGCTCTGTTTGCGGCTATACGGGCAATTTATAGTGTCGGCTTCGAGGTATAGGTTATTTTCAAAGTACTACCCCTATTATTTTTCCATGAGGAACTTGCACACAAGTTTTTTTGAAACATGAACGGGACACCCTGTATAACAAAAAAACTTTACCTTTGGCCACAGAATACGCTCCTGGATTTTTGATCTACGAAACACCCTGTACATTATGTAAATAGCTTTCCATTACAACGAACTTGCTGTAAGACATAAACAAACCTTCGGAATCTGGGATATGTCCTCGGCCTAGAGCCCTGATGCCTGTGCACAATTTTGCAGACATTTCCCATAAATTATAATCATTATTGTATTTGGATGCAATTTTGGTAAAAATGTTCGTCGCTACTCACTGGCTCCTTATTATCATAAGATTGTCAGAAATTTCTCTGAAAATAAGCCAATAGAAATGTTAACTTGTAAATGGCTAGAGCAAAATGTAGCTAAACACCTCCCAGTTTGGGACGCCACTGATTAAAATATTGGAATTATTTTGTGGAACAAATATTCTGTTGATATTGTTGTCAGTCTTGATTTAATAATTTAAGAATCATTAAGTTTGTTGTTTCGAAATTCAGGATGTTGTATCATTAAGTGCGTGTATTTATTTGAAACACATAACATTTGTTAGTCCATATTCAATTAAATTCTGATATAATTCTTTCAGTATATTTTATCTAAAGAATGCAAAATGCTCTTCTACAGATAAAAAATTACAATTACTAACAAGTACTTACACACAAGTCGTCTAGCTACTTAAAATCTACTTACTCGTATCCACAAACAACGCATTTGTTAAGAATACGACATTTGTTGAGAGATGAAATTTTCGATAACCACCTAACCATATTCATATCTTAGGTTTGAAGATGAGTTTATAAATTAGAAATGTATATATATAGGACTAGTTGTGACATTTCCCAATACTCATTGCGTTGTTCGTAAGGTAAGTGGATTATTCGAATGAATATATTTCACTCATTTGTAGCTTTTTAAGCGCAAGTATCGCAAATATGTTAATTCTTGTTGAAAATTATTTATATCAATTTAACTAGTTTTCTGTAGATACGTATTTATAACCAAAATAATATAATTGACGAAGACAGCAATCTAGTCAGTCTTATTTTAGTTCCTAAGTTAAAATCTTAGATGTGCGAAAAAAATTATTAATAGTTTTCCCAAAAAAAAATTAAATTGTATTATTTTTCCGCAGAAAGATCATAATGAGGTTCTTGGTTGTTCTTGCTTCAGTAGTTTTGGCGATTAACGCTACAGCCGACAACGAGTTGTGGTTGGAATTCAAGGTAAGTCTATGAAAAATTGACATCAATTTCACATGGTTTTATAAAAACTGTTAACACAAAATTATTCGAACAATAAGCAAATTAATAATAAAACAAATTATCTCCCGTTATATTTTAGTCATGATTAAACTTACTGGTATTAAGTATAGTCTTTCTCGTGGTTTCAATCATCTCCCTATGATGTACCACATCCAAAACACTGTTACCATGCCATGAGATTTTATTGTCGACACATTTTAAAACGCAACAATTTCGACAATTCTTCTCCTAGCGTGACAAACAGAAACCAAAGCGATTGAATTATTTCTATATACATTATTAATATAAAAAAAAATTCCAGCGAAACTATGGACGTGACTACAGAAACCTGAGAGAAGAACAACACCGATACAGCATCTTCCAAAGCAACGTGCGCATCATCGACGAACACAATGAGAAATACGTCAAAGGAGAAGAAACCTACTACATGGGAATCAACCAGTTCTCAGACATGACCCCCGAAGAGTTCAAATCCATGCTGAACTACAGCGCCTCCTTAAAACCAGCTCGCCCACAATCCACCCTCATGCACGTAGAATCCGGTCTTGGAGCCCCCTCAGAGGTCAACTGGGTGTCCAAGGGAGTCGTCACCGGGGTTAAGAATCAAGGAAATTGCGGTTCCTGTTGGGCATTCAGCGCTGTAAGTACCTATTATAGAAAAGCACCGATTCGACCTGTCAAGTAACAAACTATGATATCCTTATTACTTTCGTTCATTTGCAGATCGGCGCTGTAGAAGGAGCTTACGCCATCAGAACTGGCTCCTTGGTCAGCTTCAGCGAGCAAAACCTTATGGACTGCTCCACCGTGAACGCAGCCTGTGATGGAGGATGGATGACAGCAGCTTTCGAGTACATCAGAGACAACGGAATCGAGACAGAGAATGACTACCCGTACGTAGCCGCTAAAGGATCTTGCCAATTCAACTCGGGCAAGAGCGTCACAAGAGTCTCAGGCTTCGTTAACGTCGCCCAAAGCGAAAGCGCTTTGTTGGAAGCCTCCGGTGAGTAATCGCAACTTCAAGGTTGACAACTTCAGAGTGGTAGTGGTCCATGTGAGAGCACTATCTCATCCAAAATATAATGTAAAAATATGGCATGAAAATAGACTAGGGCAAGTTTCCGCCACTAAAATGAACTTCCAACCCCCATGAGTTTTGTTGGAAATAATATCTGCTCCAGTTCATCTAAAGTCGTTGTAGGAACGTCTCAAACTGTGGTCCTATAGCATTTGGAGTGTAGCAATATGCGTTTTCAGCTTGATGGCATATTAAAACCTGATCACAAATAACAGTTTTGGGGAAAATATTGTGTTATACACCGAATCTTTTATTTAGACCTTGCAACCTAGAATAAAAACTAACAATTTTCATTCTTTTCTAGCAAATGTTGGTCCCCTCTCTGTAGGTATCAATGCCGCCCATTTCCAAAACTACGCCGGAGGTGTTTTCACCAGTGACTCCTGCGATATAACTGACTTGAACCACGGAGTAGTCGTCGTTGGTTACGGAAATGAGAACGGCGCAGATTACTGGCTGGTCAAGAACTCCTGGGGTGCCGAATGGGGAGAAAATGGATACGTCAAAATGTTCCGTGGCAGCAACCTGTGCGGTATTTCCCTAGATATTTCTTATCCAACATTGTAATTTGGTTGTCCTATCGTTCTGCCGTACAAGGTGTGACGTATAGACCTAGAGATGGGGTGTATTCACATTTACTTTCACTGTGATGTTTCTCTGGGAGTTAATTGTTGTCATCTCATGAATTAAAAAATAAAAAATGTATATTTGTATCTTGTTTTTTTACTTGTTTAACAAAAACTTAATAATTCTTAGAATTCCAAAAACTATTTAAATGCAAATCATTTTTTATTAACTTGATAAACACGAAACTGATCATAAAAGTTCAGAACATCTCCATATACTACTTAACTACCCTTTTGAAAGATAATAGTACGACTAACGCTATTCTTAAGACTAAAAATTTAAATTTACGTCAAACTAAGTGCGTTATTTCCAGATTTGACTCATATTTGAAATGGGTGTAAAAGTCCAATCCAAGTTGCTATTATTAGAAACATTTCACGCAATTTTTCTATTGAATAAATGTTAATATCTAGATAATAATAATATTATATTGTATTTTATCTCAAAAGATCTCTTGCTATTAAAACACTCGTGAAAAGAATAGCACTACAACTGACTTATTCAATCTTGATTTATTTAATCACAGTGAATCGTGTTATGTTGAAAAGAGAATTTCTAAAATATCATTCAAGTTTTAAGAGTGAAGCGAACGACGTTTATCATCGATTAAATCAATGCCTTAAAATCAAGCATCGAGTAGAATGAAATGGACTATTATAGGATACAGACGATGAGCTTCAATTCCATTACCATTGGCATTGGTATGTATATCACGAAAAAAAAAAATTACAATTTAAGTGCTGCACCCTGTAGCTGTTTAAGTATCAACTTTTCAAGTAAGTTAAATTGGTACATTCTGTAGCGAAAAAGGTTGAAATATCAAAAAATACTAATTTGGAAATATTAAAAAAAATTTATTGTATACCAATAAATAATAATAAGTACTTTACCTATCCTTGCGGTTAAAATCCGATCTGTTTACTTGAGCTGTATAAAACATAGCATTTGCCGGTGCTCTGTGGCATTTGCCATAGAAACAAGAGTTTTTATTCATAACAAAAAAGCATACTTTTTATAAGAACACATGATAAGAATTAACTCGTATGTTTTCTAAAGTATTTTGAAGGATAATATTACTTGTTTAGAGATTATTAATAAATCATTTAAGACAATTTTTTTGTTATCATATACAAGAAGGGTTTTATAATCACTTTTTCTCTGGAAAACAATGCGCCCTATAAAAAAGAAATAAGAGTACCTTTATCATATAATTCACCAATCTCTTTCAGAAAATGTTACTATTTGTGCGAAATTTCAGTGACGTTCCGAAACAAAAATACATTTTTTGAGAAATTTTTGACACTACATATCTGAAAAACGAAACATTTCCGGCATATTTTTTTTTAATTTTTTCCATTTTTCTATTTTTTGGAACCCTCTTTACCTTATGCCTTATTTTGCAAACATATAATTAATATTATTCTATTTAAGCTCTTACCTTATAGTGGAATTTTGGAGAAAATAATAAATCGTAAATTATTTGGTAAGAATCAAGATTTATATCTAGCAAATTATTGCTTGTTACAAAATATCTGTTAATAGGTACCCCAAATGTTTTAAAATTATATGTATAGATTAACAAACATAAATAATGAATATTTAGTTTCACTGATTATTTATAGACATAATCCACTTATATTTGAAATATATACAAGATAAATAGTAATATAGTGTCACAAACTGTCAAAACGATAAATAAGAACAAAGGAAAATTTAGTGGCAAGATAAATATCACCTAGTTTGCCGAATAGAACCTTAGGTGTTAAAACAATAAAAGCAACAAGGTACCACAGCTATCTTATTTAATTTCGAATTCTTATGACTATTTTTCACTATTTCTCTTGTTTGGATGAGATTAGCGGCAGGAAATTGCAATGGTTGTATGTTTTGTTGACAGTTATAGTAATACAGTAAATATAGTATGCAGTAATGTAGTGACAAATTTAATAGTACGCAACATATTAAGAGAAAACCTACTTTTCAGTTTGCTAGTAAAATATTAGACTATGCAGAAAATAAAAAAATGTTTTTGGGGATATTCCTAAAGCCTATGATTGTTTATATCACCAATTTTGTTATAATTACAAAAATATGAAATTCGGGGAAATGCGTTTAATTGGATATAATCTTATTGGACCATTGGACGAAAAACAGAATTTATGAAACAATAAAATAGAGTATAGTCTCTAGATATGTTTCTCTTCCTGTTCTATTCTAACACAGAATTCTAAACGTTAGTAACAACAATTTTATTATCGAAATAACCAATAAAGAGTGTTTCGGAATCAGTTTAGAAAATTTATTTTGATTTTGACCAGTTGTACAAAGTTGCAAGTAATCTCTTTGCAAAATATTCCCTTATCAGACAAAGGAATACATGTTTCAAGGGTATTATTGCAAATTTACAAAAATTACTAATAATGTTCAAACTATTTATAAATTTTGTAGATATCCACTTGTGATAAACCTGATAAATCTTTTGTAATCTAATATAAAGTCTCCAAATTTTACTATTTTAGTCATACTTCTTTTTGCTGTTCCCAGGTGAGTTTTGATGATTTTATTTTCATTTAAATTTTAATTTTATCAGATATTTGACATCTTCTGACTTGTTTCGTCCGTTTTATATTCCAAAAATAGTTTTCAAGAAAAAAAAATGCTGAAATTGTATTTTTGCAGAAGAATTTTGTCAATAAAAATTTACAATTTCTAAACCTCATGTAATCGATTTTTCTCGTTTAAATAACTCTTTCTATCATTATTTAAAAAATTCCCCATAAAATTACAACGTGCTACTTTTTACAGAAAAAACAAAATGAAGTTCTTGGTGGTGTTTGCTGCCTTAATTTTGGTCATCAGTGCCACATCTGACAAGGACCAGTGGCTGCAATTTAAGGTACCTAAATTTTTACATTTTTTGAAAATTCTATCAAACGACACAAAATTATTTGTGATATGTGATAAACTGCATTTTTATTTAGATTATAGATACAAGCTTCTGTACCTGCTCTTGTTGTGATCTTTCGGAATAAACAAACAAATAAATAATTCTTAGTGATAACAATTAACAATAATATTTCAGGAAAAATATGGCAGATACTACAGGAATCTCAAGGAAGAACAGCAACGCTTCTCCATCTTCAAAGATAACTTGGTGACCATCCAAGAGCACAACGAGAAATACGCTAAGGGGGAGACGTCATACTATATGGGAGTCACTCCTTTCGCTGATCTAACTCCCACCGAGTTCATATCCATGCTCAACAGCTCCAGGCCCATTCCCGACTTGAAACTGAAGCCTTTGGTCGACGTCGACGCTTCTGCTGCGCCCAGCGCTATCGACTGGAGGGACAAGGGAGTCGTTTCGGAAGTTAAGAATCAAGGTGGCTGCGGTGGCTGCTGGGCTTTCAGCGCTGTAAGTCTGACTTTTTTATGATCTTTGGTGTATAAAGGTATTCTCATTCTCGACAACCACTCCTTTTTGTTGGGCACCTTTCAATCATAATTTTGTTCGCAGACTGGAGCTATGGAAGCTGCCTACGCCATCAAGACAGGAAATCATATTTCTCTGAGCGAGCAGAACTTGATCGATTGCTCGACGAGTTACGGAAATTCTGGATGCAGTGGTGGAACCATCCATAGCGCTTTCCAGTACGTGATGGAAGTCGGTATCCAAGCGGAATCTGACTACGCCTACCAAGGCAGGGATGGTAGTTGCTCTTATTCCCAATCCAAGTCTGTTCTAAAAATATCGAATTACGTCGCCCTTTCCTACGACAACGAAAGAGAATTGCAAAATGCAGTTGGTATGTACAGATCCTTCTTTACCTAAGCAAATTTATTTATGTACAGAGTGATTCACGGAGAACTAAAAAAGAAATATTATCAAGTAAAAATAAGCAAAGAAAGTGTATACAAACATTTGGAAACGCAATGTTTTCCAGATAATTAAATTTTCCGAAAAAAATTAAATATTTCTACAAGGCCTCATGTTCTTTTTTCTCTTTCACGTATCTTAAATTTGCACTTAAAATAATAAAAACCTGCTACATATAACAATCAAAATGTGTATAATATAATGAGATTTTTACTTTGTGTAGCTATAGAGTACGTACTTGTATATCTCTACAGTGATTAGATGATAGAAAATTATCGATTTGAACAGTTGCTTCGCCAGTAATCAGAAAATAACTAAGGATATATTTAAAACCTACATATAATTTTTGGTTACAGATTTAAGATCACTTAGATCACATGTGGCAAAATGATTGTCTAATTTTATATCAACGAAAACACTGCACGCAGAAAACAGTGTTACACAAAATTGTTCCTAAAATGTTACAGACACAAATTCGTACAATATTGTTTGATAATTTTAGAAAATCTACAATTTGCTGGTAATAATTTCATAATTGCAAAAATTATCACAATGAAAACAAATTTTCACACAATTTGTGCTTGACCCCATTTCACCAACTATCTTGTGAATTTTCATTTCAATGTTTTTTTTTTGTGTGGTAGAGCACTAAAGAGCAGGAAGCACATGAATTCTACTGATTTTTAAAAAACTAACAGTCATTCTAGATAATTCTTTTGCTTGTCATCAAATTTATAACTTTCTTTTTTAAAATCAGATTTGTTTGGGATTCATTGCCTCTTCTTTATATAGGTACCTAGTATCTTTGGACACATTTTTGAACACGGTACACCCCGTTTAGACATTTCAAATTAGAAATTAAGTAAAGGGCAACGGCAATTTGGACAGCTTTGGCGAAGTTTTGGCACTTATTAAAAACTTATTTGATTTGCACAGCCAATGGAACTTTATATTATACATAGTGTTAGTTAAGTACGTGATCAAATTTCATGGGGTGATTCTTTGAGTGATTCTAAGACGAAAAGTTTATATAAACATAGATCGGATAATGCTTCGTTTACAAGATACAGGGTGTCAAACTTTTATAAAAAATCGTTTATTCGTAGAAATCTTTATAATCCTTTAGCCGATTTTGTTGAAATTTGGCAGTGTTATGTATGGTAGGAAGGAGCTTATTTAGCCCTGACTAGATTAAAGTTATTAAGTCCATTGGCGTCCCTTAACCAATATTTTTTACCAAAAAAAATGTGCGCCACCACTTTTTTAAAACTTAGAATGATTTTTTTCGCATTAAGCAACTAAAATTTACTTTATTGCCTCTTCAATTTTGTTTGTGTCTTACTTCCTTTTTGGAGAAAAAAAAATAAAAATCTTTTTATTGCATGTCCATGCGCCAACATAATAAAAAACTAAAACTACCAAACTATCAAAAACTGGTGTGTACCTGTTATTTTTTCCATATCAATAGTCCATTGTAGTCTTAGAAATTGTTATAAAATTAAAGCTAGCTAAAGAAAATCTTTGTGTTTTATTAATTATTAAAAAATGTTTTGTTTGTTGTCTATGCACATGCAATAAAGCGATTTTTTTCTCCAAAAAAAGTTATTTATTTTTTTGTCAAAAATATTGATTGAGGTACCCCTGAGACGCCACTGGACTTAATAATTTTAATCTAGTTAGGGTTAAAATAGCCCCTTTCTACCATAAATAACACTGCCAAATTTTAACAAATTCGGCTAAAGGATTATTAATATTTTTACGAAAAAACGATTTTTTTAAAAAAGTTTGACACATTGTATCTTGAAAACGAAGCCTTACCCTACCTATATTTACATAAACTTTTCGGCTTAGAATTACTCAAAGTATAACACTCTGTATATACCATAATAACACACTGTTTGGTGTTAATATTTTTAAATTTTTATAAAATGCACATCCTATCGATTTTCAACTGGTATACCCTTTTTTGTATTATCTTGAGGATATTTAAGAAATTTTTTACATATATTTACATCCCTCAAACTACCCGCATCCACACCATTCCTATTGGGGATAGAATAAATTGGAGGTTTTTCTTAAGACGCGGTACAGAGGATAAATCAAAACACCAATATCTTCTTTTTCAGGTACTATTGGGCCAGTTTCAGTATCTATCGACGCGAACGGCTTCCAGTTGTACTCTGGAGGAATTTACGATGATTCTACCTGTACCTGGACCGTCAACCATGGAGTCCTGGTAGTCGGCTACGGTGAGGAATCCGGTACAGAGTATTGGATCGTGAAGAACTCCTGGGGTAGCGATTGGGGAATGAGCGGTTACATCAAGATGGCTCGTAACAAGAACGACCAATGCGGTATTGGCTTGTGGGGCGTCTATCCTGTAATCTAAGTGCCCGACTGACATGTGTAATTTAAATGTACGATGAATAATAAAGCGGTACGATTACAATATTACTATGAGAAAGTGCTTTTGTCTTTTTAACGGTAATAAGGAGATTATTGAATTCGGTTTATTTTACAAAGAAAAAAGCAATAACATCTTGACAATTCGAAGGAGACCACTAGAATCGTATCGTCAGCAAACAACGTCAAAGTGGAAGTGTTTTACTGTATCCATGGACGTAGCTAGGATTTTTGCTTGGGCCAGGACTGCAAGCTGGATGGATACCTTAAAAAAAACCGCAGGCACTTCAAAACCTAAACCCTTTTTCGTTTGATTCAAAAAACAAAACAAAAATCAGCGACCTACCGATATAAAATTTCAAAACCTAAACAAAATTGTTTTTAAACTTGCAGCATGCAACGCCCATGACTGTTTCGTTTACTTATAGCAAAAATATTAATGGACCCAGCACGGATCCCTGAGGTATTCCATAATCAATATTTCTGATTTCCGAAGTATACTCATTTATTTTAACACACATTGATCCATCAGTGAGATACTGGATCAACCAATTTAAAAATAACCCTCTAAATCCCATATTATAAAAGTAATTAACTTTCGACCATAGATTTATTATAATAAGTCTATGCTTTCAACGAATGAGATTGAGAATGAGATTTATTTATGAGATATTCAGATATTAATTTATAAATTTCAGAGCCACGTTGGTTACAGTTTTTCATATTGCATTATTTCTATATTCAAACAAAGAAAGGTAGTAAGGCTCTTATAACAAGTTAGACAAGGCGAAAACCTCGCATTCGCGGGAGAAATTTTTCCGACTCGATATTTTTTGCATATTTAGATTCGTGAGATGTTCCTTAACATGAATCAAGATGATGCCGGCCGGAAATCTGGTGCCCATTTGTTTAAACAAATTGTAAAAATTGTTTTTTTCACTCCGGGAAAAATTTTCTTAGGTTTTTTGGCACATTATAAACAAAAAAGGTTCCTAGGCACTATGCCTCTAAAATAGATAGTTTTAAAGTTATAAACAAATTAAGTTGCTAAAAATGCGGAAATGACGATTTTCAACGGCCGATTTCCGTGTTAAAAATTGTTATTTTTGATGTTGCCAGGTACCTAAATTAAAGTTTAAACATCCCCCTACAAGATGCTGAAGAGTTTTTGGGACTCGCATTATTCTAAAGCCTTGTTTTTTAATTGTTAATAAAGCGTTATGAGCCGCGCGCGCGCCTCTCTCATACGCGGATTCGCTATTTCGNTTTGGGACTCGCATTATTCTAAAGCCTTGTTTTTTAATTGTTAATAAAGCGTTATGAGCCGCGCGCGCGCCTCTCTCATACGCGGATTCGCTATTTCGTCTAGCGGCTTCAGCTTATGTTCTTTGAATTTAGCATTCTAAGTACTATTACTAGTCATGAAATAATGTAAAAATTGATTATTTAAATTTCATAATTCATAATAATTTTATTTAATTAATTCAAAATTGAGAGAATAGAGAGAATAGAGTGCAGAAAAGAATAAAAGGGCAATAGTATAAAATACATTTGATTTTTATTAAAGAACATTTATTTAATACTGCATATTATCATTATTATCACACATTTATTCAATCATAAGAATTCTCACACTGTTCTATGTTATAACCACATAAAGGTAGACAAGTGACATAGTTTTTCCTACAAAAACAAGCTTTAGTTTTACAGTTGTTTGTACATTTACATTGTTTAACTAAGTATCTGGGTAATGGATTTTTGGTAATAAATTTAGGTAATAATTCACCTGTTTCATTTTGATAACCAAAAGCTGTGAAATCCAAATATTGACATTGAGGAATAATGGAACTTTTTTCCATATTTACGTTTGTAAAGAAGCTTCACAATTAAAAAACAAGGCTTTAAAATAATGAGAGTCCCAAAAACTCTTCAGAATCTTGTAGGGGGATGTTTAAACTTTAATTTAGGTACCTGCTAAATGCTAAAATTGGAAAATAAGAATTTGGTACCAAAGATGAGATACCTTAAAGTATAAGAAAGTTATGTCGTTTTTAACACATTCAATCTACTGCAGCTAGCGCCCTTTATGAACTTTAACCAAAATGTGAACACATTTCAATTCTTTCAAATCTCAAAATTTTGTGAGGATATTTGCATTTGTTAAGGAATAAATGAAAAAAAACTAAAATAATATTTTACATTTAACACCCTGTATCTCTTTAACTATCAACTTTTGGACTAAGGTAAGTTCGGCTAAATCGCAAAATTTTTGCTTCGAGAATCTACTCATGAATTTTGACCTATTAGCTCGGGACCACCCTGTATACAATTTTTTTGTAATTGTAAAAACACTAGTGTTAAAAGGAACTTACTTTTAACACGCGTGTCAAAAAATGACATTTTTAACATCAAAAATGACAATTAAAAAGCCCACTTTTAACAGTTTTGTAGAAAAAATAGTGTATGATATACGTGTTAAAAGTGATTTTATTTTGTTCGTGAAGTTAAAAAACTCGCTACGCTCGTTTTTTAATCATCTTCACTCACAAAATAAAATCTTACTTTTAACACGTATATCATAAATAGCTATTTTATTCAAACTTACAAAACTCAAAACTACATTTTTTAAAAATAGTTTACTATTTTGTATTTTGCATTATTTGATGTTTATAAAGGCAACTACTTTAAAATCTGGACGTTTATGAAAAATCCGCCCGGACCCACCCGGACGTAGTAAAAACCCGAATATGTCCGGATTAATCCGGACGTCTGGTAACCCTACGCACGATAAAATTTGTAATAAAAGAAGTTGTAGAAAATCGCATTTGCAACAAATTAAGTCCGTACCATTTTTAAAGAAAAGNCCAACATTTTTGTCGGACAAATTTTTTGGGGGTTTAAAAAATATATATCTTTCATTTTAACTTAAAAAAAGTGCTGGTCATAACATTCCATGTTTATGCCAGATGTTTTCCTGAAAATCACGGGAAAACTTACCACTGTTGAGTTTTTCTCGTAGTGAAATCTTGGGAGACTCGTCAAACTTAAGCTGCACGCAAAGTTACAGCTTGCTGGTAATCATTTTTTTCTTTGTACGTGGGCCCGTGGATATTGGGTCGAATTACGAATTCGAGGCACTTGAAACTATGTAGAAACTACTTTTGATTTTTTTAAGAGTTTTGGATAGTGACCACTGCTTATAGAAAGATTAATTAGAAAATTAATGTGATAAATTAATATACAGTGTGACCCGTTTGAAACCGGGCCACTCTCATCAAGTTTTTATTTACAGGGTGATTTTGACCAACATTTTTTTTTAATTGTAGACGGGGAAATGTATACTTTAGGACAACCAGATAATTTTTAAGAGGTAAAAGTTGAAGTAACCATATTAGCGAAAAAATCTGAGTAAGCCAGGGAATTATGCGCTCTATAAAATGGGCCTACCCCAAAAACATAAAAACATTAATTATTTTACGATAAAATTGCCTATTGTGCTGATCTTACGGATTTTGTCTTCATCATTATTAGAAAACATTTGGAATATTATAACATGACATACAGCCTCAGTCCTGTCCAACTGAAGTTAATAGGCAAGATAAGTAAAAAGTAAAATAAAAAAATACCCAGTTTCAAATAAGTCATACTGTATATAAATATTTTTTCTAACCAACCTTGCCGATAGGATATGTAACAGTCGTTATTTTTCAAATTACGTATTACTACTAAATCTATCTCATTTTCAACAACAGAAATTAAAAACTTGTTATTTAGCATAACACTATTAAACTTAATTTTATTATCTATACATATATCTGTATTTTGTTTTTTGTTAAGGGATTTAGTGCAAGGGTATATTCAGATTTTATATGACAAAAAAACACTCTCGTAATATCGTAATATTTAATACTCATAAAAAATACTTATAGTTCATGGCTACAGCTTTTCATTTTGCATAATTTCTATAATTATTCAAACGAAGAAATGTGGCACGACACAATAAGTTTATCTAGATTATAGATTAAATTTTTTTACTCGTATGTTTTTATTTATTAATTTATTAATCACGAAAAAAATGTCAGATAACTTTATCTAGATTAAAGATTACATTTTTTTATTCGTGTAAATGTTAATTAATTTATTAATTACGTATGAAGTGCCCGATGACGTAAATGCACAATGCACTAAAAATATAATAAGCTAATCAATAGAGGTTCTGTTGGTGACAAAAATACTAGTAGGCAAAAGGACTGTGCCATCATATAAAAGACAGTCTGTAGATATATGCTTATACTCCTATGTTTCCTACGAAAATTTACATTAAATAATTTTTTACAAACATTTTTATGCAAAAAACGCACATATAGCATTTTTTTTAAGTTTTTTGCTTATAAAACCTAAACTAACGAAGCGATCTGAATGCTATAAGGAGACAATTTGTAGAGAATCGAAATACGAATAAAATGACAGATCGATCGATCCGATCTGATAATTAGTAACGAAGAAAGTCCGGAAACATCGGAAAATTTAGTATTTTTTTAAAAATTCATAACTCCGCCATTTTTTTAGTTAAAGAGCTGACCCGGTGCACAAAAGTAGTGAATTATACAGGGTGGCCAAATGAACACGAAAGAGAGCCATTTTCAGGAACTGCGTCAAGATTGTAGAAAAACGCTCAGACCTGCCGATTTTAGATTAAAGGGGGACATTCTTTGCTGGTATTTTTGACTCCGCCACTTTCACCCCCAAGCAAGGGTAAGCATCACCCCAAAATATTTAAATGGCATTGGGGGTTGAGTAATATTTCTTTTGAAAGCTCTTACAATTCTCTTTACAACAGACTTTAAATTTTATAATTCCGCCCAATACTTTGAAAAAAATTTACATTTTAAAATTTAAATTATGTTTAGTTGCTTACTTACTACTTAGTTGATTAAATGTTCAAACTGATGACCGCCCGCTTCCATACAAGAATAAAGATTTTGTTCGAAACGTTCGCGCACATTCCGAAGCATTTCCGGAGTGATTCGACGGCATTCGTCGACGATTCTTTGACGCAAATCTTCCAGCGACGCTGGCTGTGTTTTATAGATTTTACTTTTTAGGTATCCCCACAAAAAGAAATCAAGGGGCGATAAATCCGGTGATCGTGGAGGCCACTCAATGCTGCCTCTTCTCCCAATCCAATTCCGTAGAAAACGTTGGTCCAAATACTGACGGACAATTAACGCATAATGCGGAGGAGCACCGTCCTGTTGAAAAATCAAATGATCTTCATCATACTCTGGAACATTTTCAATAATATCAGTCAAGGCAGGGTCAATAGCGTCTTCCAGTAATTGCAAATACATTTGGCCAGTCAAATTACCAGGTAGAAAAAAAGGACCCACCAGCCGGTCACCGAAAATTCCAGCCCATACATTTAATTTTTCCGGTTGCTGTGTATGCACCTCGTGAAAAACTCTTGGGTTTGAATCGGACCAATAGCGGCAATTGTGACGATTTACCGTCCCGTTCAAGAAAAAACTGCATTCATCAGAAAAACAGATGTTAAAAAGGAACTGTGGATCGTTCCCTGCTCGCTCACTCATTATTTCGCAAAATTGCAAACGGCGGTCATAATCATCCTCATGAAGTTCCTGGACTAAATGTATTTTGTATGGATGGAATTTATTCTTCTTCAAAATGGTTTGTATGCTAGTTCGATTGATCCCAGACACAGATGCCAGCTGCCTCGTACTTAATGTAGGATCAAGATGAACTTGTCCCAAAACTGCAACTTCACTAGCTTCATTAACTATAGGTTTTTCAATTTCTCGTTTTTTATTGGCTACGTTCCCTGTCTCTTGAAATTTTTTTACTAACTCTAGAACATACTTCCTCCTGACATGTCGATCTTGATGTTGTTCATTAAATAGCTGAGCTGTTCTATTCGCACATTTATTGTTCATAAAGTAAAGCGAAATGATATCTACCCTTTCCGCAATGGAATAAATCATAGTGTTTAATTTTCAAAAACACAATTAAATAAACTACCAACCAACGCTTCCAAATAATACTAGAAAATAATTTGGAATCCACTAATTTTACGTTCATTGTGTGTGTATAGCATTCATTTCTGTTGTTTACAATTGTGTTTTTTTTACGAAAGTGATAACAAATCGCCAAAAACCAATGTAACGCAAGAAATACTAAATTTATGCCATTGGCGTACTTAACTCGAATGACTGACATTTTTACATTTACTAATTGTTTGTACATAAGTTTCCACTTTAAAATCAAAATTCTTAATAAGTTATGAGCGGAATTATAAAATTTAAAGTCTGTTGTAAAGAGAATTGTAAGAGCTTTCAAAAGGAATATTACTCAACCCCCAATGCCATTTAAATATTTTGGGATGATGCTTACCCTTGCTTGGGGGTGAAAGTGGCGAGTCAAAAATACCAGCACAGAATGTCCCCCTTTAATCTAAAATCGACGGGTCTGAGTGTTTTTCTACAATCTTGACGCGTTTCCTGAAAATGGCTCTGTTTCGTTTTCATTTGGCCACCCTGTATGTACTTAAAGTGTGCACAAGGCAGGCGCTGTTGGACTATTAGTTTTGGCACAATAATTGTAATTTGAATTTTTTGTGCACTATTTTGCAAAACTTCTGGATGCGTTGGAGGTGGTCCGATTTTAATTCTTCAGTCGGATTTTAAAAGTAGAAATATAGTACTACAAAACGTATATTCTACTTTTCCGACGAAATGATGCGAAATAGGTGAAAAATTCCTCCAAACATGATCAAAAACGGCCGAGCGCGCGTACGCGATCAAGTAGCGGGGGAAGATCGGGATGAGGGGCAGTGGATATACAGGGTGTTAATGATAAGTTTTGCCAAACTTTAATGGCGTATTCTATCGATAAAAATAATTAAATTTTACTCTATAAAAATTTTTGATAGGACGCTTCGCTACGGAGATAAAGGGTGTTAAAACTTTCGAATATTTATATGATTTTTCCTGTAACTTCACTGCCAAAAAATATTTAGCGATAAAATTTGAGAAATAACATTTTCTTAGTAGGGATTATTTTTTCTTATACACTCCAGTGACGTAGTTTTAGCGGGAGTTAGAGTTCTTGATATTTCGAGAGACAAATCGCTCTCTTCCTCAGAGAAGAGTCTGAATTTGTTCTTACTAGACAGAATGCACGTCAACTGCTGTATTTATTCTACTCTGCCAGTTCTGCTTTGTGCTGCCTTGCTTGCTATGCACAAAGGTGAAATGTGTGAAAACGATTCGAGATTTCTAAATATCATTAACAATAATTTGATTATGATGATGATCCTTTGCAAATTTATATACTCGTGTCAGAAAGAAAACACGTTTCAAGGGTATTTATTAATTACTGCAATTGCACTCGTGGCAAAAAAACTTTTATTACTTAAATATTTTGTAGATGTCCACTTACGATAATCTTGATAAACATTTTGTGATCTTATATAAAGTCATCAGATTTGATTATTTGGTCATACTTCTTTTTGCTGTCCTCAGGTGAGTTTTAATGATTTTATTTGAATTTGAAAATCCTATCAGTTGCTTGATATATATTTCAAACAAAAATTGCTTTTTACAGGAGATTTTTGTCATTTTTTTTTGTAATAGAAAAATTCCATATAAATTTACAATGCACTGCTTTTACAGAAAAAACAAAATGAAGTTCTTGGTGGTGTTCGCTGCTTTAATATTGGTCATCAGTGCCGCGTCTGACAGAGACCAGTGGCTGCAATTCAAGGTAAATTTTTGGATTTTTTTTATAATTCCCTAAACGGCGCAAAACTAGTAGTAGCAACACTAACAATAAATGTTACCGTTACATTTAATGTTTTTTGGCTGATAATGTAGATTAAGGTTTTATATAAAATTCGCTTGAGTTTTTTTGAATTTTTAAGAATTTTATGATGTGCCTTTACTAAAAATATTTATGGATTGTGGAACTCAGAGTTCCATTAAACGAATATCTGCTAAATTTAACAAAAAACTACTTTTCAAGAATTCAGATTAACGTGTTTTAGTACTTCCATAAACAAATGATGATCCTAGAAAAAAAAATTGGGTTTAATTTTAAACCTATGTTTCGGTTATTGCAGAACAATTATGCATAATATTAAACTTTAGGAATATTTCCTTCTATTTGAAAAATCCTAGAATTTCTCCTATACATAAAAAAGACGCAAAAAATGATGTAGAAAGGTAAATTCTACAAATATGTAATTTCGATATAGTATACCTACGAAAATTTTATACCTATATGATGTGTTATGTCACGATTGCAGAGAGAAATTAGTCTTTATCAACACGATTTTATAAAAAATCTACTGTTTCACATTTATTTTGTATTATATTTTATATAACGCTATTTATTTCTAGTATTCAGAATATGCGCATTTTTTGTACTTGTCAAAGCTTAAGTATGTTAAGTTTATCTTGATTACTCTTAAATAATTTCAAATGGTACTTCACTGATAGTACGCAATATGAAGATTGATGAATGTCCAGGTTTTAAATAATCTGTAGTATCTCTAACATCTGGCATGCCTCAAGGTCATATATCGGCACTACTTCTTTTCTTATTACTTATAAATCACATACTAGAAAATTATTTGGATGGTTTTAGCGACTTATCATCTCAAATCTTGAATCAGATTTATAGTAAATAGTTTACATGGTTGTGGATTACTCAGTCATTATTTTTCCATCACAGATTGTTGATTAATAAAACTGATTGCTCTCAGATCATGGATCAGATTTTTTTTCATCTTCACCTCATAATAACAACGGCTTTATCCTGAAGCTCCCAGAATAAATTCATTCAAATTCGCATTTCGTGTGTAAAAACTACTTATAATAAATTACAAGATAAACTTGATATATTTAGATGTACTATAGAATAATTGGATAGTTTTTCCAACTCGTAAAAACACGACATTAAATCATCTCTCCGACAAGCCTCAAAGATCCCAAACACTAAAACTGGTTTTGGTAGTAGATATTGTTCATCTGGAGCTTCACATAAAAATTTGGTTTCTTTGGACTTTTTCGGTATATCTCCTATAGCTTGATGCTTCAAAAAAAGCAATAATGTTTTAATATTTTGTTGATGTTAGCATTTTCTTTTATGACCAAACAACTATTTAGCATTGAGAATCGACTCCATAATGTGAAAGATTTCAGACTTAGCTTTTTCGACAAAGTAAACTAGAAGAATATCGTTACTTATAGTTTTGATTTTGTCCAGATTTCACCATTCAGAAAAAAGTTAATATTCGTGTTCATACCTCGACATGGATTTTACTGGTAATAAATTCGTGTTCGCTTGTGTCGCTTGCTCTAAGATGCTATCGGGAATTTCGGGATTTTCTTCTGAGTACATTTTATCGGCATAAATTTGACAGAAAATAAACAACGCTGACAATACCATAGATTTAATAGTATATTAGATCTGTGGACAGTACAGTGTTTGGCATGTATGATGCGTTTTCATGGTTAGTCTCAAATTGTTTCAAAGGTGATTTGTTTTGAATTAGTCTATGTCAGATAAGGTGTACAAACGTCAAAAAATATTACATAAATGTAGCGAAATATTCAAACATTTACGAATTAAAATACAAAATAGGTATATGTAAAATATCACATAGCATATAGACTTTCATAAATTTAGTTTGCTTTGCTGTATATTTCTATTTTTAAGTCATAATATTCGTTATTTTTATTCAGCACACGGAAAGAATCGGGAATCGAAGATCGGGACTATTTAATATTTTTGCTATTATCTAACTACTCGTAAGTTTGGTTGTTGCATGATCTATGGAGAATAAATAAATAAATAAACAAACAAACAATAAACAAATAAACAAATAATACATACTGATCAAATTTAACTTGGGTCTTATGATTATGACTTACCTTGTTTGATTATTGAGACAGAATCAATAAATTTAAGTTATTTATTAAAACGATACAATTTTATATTTCAGGAAAAATATGGCAAAGACTACAGGGACCTCAAGGAAGAACAGAGACGCTTCTCCATCTTCAAGGATAACTTGGTGACCATCCAAGAACATAACGAGAAATACGCTAAGGGGGAGACGTCATACTACATGGGAGTCACCCCTTTCGCTGATCTTACTCCCTCTGAATTCAGGTCTACGCTCAACTACTCCAGGCCCACTTCCAACTTGAAACTGAAGTCTTTAGTCGACCTTGACGCCGTTGCTGCGCCCAGCTCTATCGACTGGAGGGACAAGGGAGTCGTTTCTGAAGTTAAGAATCAAGGCAGTTGTGGAGGTTGCTGGGCTTTCAGCGCCGTAAGTCAGAAATTTTTTTAAGAGAAAATAAAAATATACCTACAGGAAAAAATCTAATTTGTTTCTTTGAAGATTGCAATATGTTCCAGTTATAATCGACACCTATATACAGGGTGTTTTGCAAAAGATATCACAAATTCAGGGAGTGACAGAACGTCAAAAAATAAGTTGATTTTTTCTTACGGCTCATGGGTTCTATTGTCTTTGATATAGGGCCATAAATTTTCCAAAAAACAGTATTCTCAAAATTTCTAGCGACAAGAAAAAAACATGGTAAAAACAGAAGACTGCTTTCGGTATTCGTAGCATCCTCTATGTTTTAAGTAAAAAAAAAAATATATTCATATTCTGCTACTCCAAAATCCGACATAAAAAATGTTTTTGAAGGCTTGTGACTTTAAAAAGGAAGCAATAACTAGCCACTAACGTTGCACGTTACAATTTTTACTTCGATAATTGTATTCGAATCGATATAACTATTGTACCGTAAATGTTAAAGTTATACAAACAATTTTTGTCGCAACCCAAAATTGAATGACACATCCCGTGGAGATCAATTTACTTTTTTAATACTCCTCTTTTTATTTTTGCTTTTATGTAACATAACATTGCTCAGAACACGAGTTATTTCTGGTTTCTTCAAACTCTTTGGAAACTTTACTTTTTGCAGCTCGACTAATTCTCTTCGTCCAATCATAATTAAAATTTCAATTCTCTGTTTTTCATTTAAATGGGCTACTCTTTTTCAAAACAGTTTAACAACGAATGAATTGGTTCTAAAACGATTCACGTTATATCTAAGGTGCTCTGGTGAATTTTATGTGTTTATCGATGTGTTTTTTTTTTGTTTGAGAAAAAAAAAGCTTTAATGTTAGCAGAAAAAGATTAATAAAGAATAGGTTTGTTTGAAATAGTCAGTACGATATAAAAGACAATTTTTTACAGTTTTTTGACAACTATGAGATATAACATTATATCGCGGAATTCGTCTTTAGAAGAGCTATCTATTTATACCATAAAATATAGAGCGACCTGTTAAAAAAATTTCGGTAATGTTATAGGTCTGTCAAACATGGGTCATAAAAATTGAAAATATTACAGAAAAGTAACAATTTCTATTTACTAATTGACCGGTTTCAGAGATTTTTGTGAATTTCAACTGGAAAAGAAATATGAATGTTGTTCCAACATTTTGGTTTATATTCGTGTCTGAAGTTGTAGGGATTTAGGTTGTTCGGAATTTAGCATAGAATTTTGAGTAATTTTTATCAAATCGATATAATTTTGGTGTCATTGCAAAGCTAAAAGATAGATCAACTTCGCTCGTGTAAGCAATTTTTTAAGCCTTTATTTTTAAGTATGTTTCCTGGCGTACAAAATGGCAAAGCAGAGGCTCATCACAACTCCTAGGAAGTTTGCATTTTTTTAATTGTGATTTATTCTCTTGTAGACTGGAGCCATGGAATCTGCCTACGCCATCAAGACGGGAAAGCTCCTTTCTCTGAGCGAGCAGAACTTGCTCGATTGTACGACGGGTTACGGAAATGCTGGATGCAATGGGGGAACTGTCGATTACTCCTTCGATTACGTGATAGACAACGGTATCGAATCGGAATCTGACTACCCCTTCCAAGGCGTAGACGGAAGTTGCTCTTATTCCCAATCGCGTTCTGCTTTACAAATATCGAGTTATGTCTGTTTAACCTACGACAGCGAAAGCGAATTGCAATCGGCGGTTGGTAAGTGCCACTTCTCTGAATTATCTCTGCAGAGGATGAATTAAAATATCGCTTTCTTCTTTTTCAGGTACTATTGGACCAATTTCAGTTTCCCTCGACGCAGACGGCTACCAATTCTACTCTGGAGGAGTTTATGATGATTCTTCTTGTACCTGGAACGTCAACCACGGTGTCCTGGTAGTCGGCTATGGTGAGGAATCCGGTTCCCAGTATTGGCTCGTCAAGAACTCCTGGGGCGCGTCCTGGGGCGAGAACGGTTACATCAAGATGGCTCGTAACAAGAGCAACCAATGCGGTATCGCCTTGTGGGGCGTCTATCCCGTAATATAAAGTGCTTGACTGAAATGTAACATGAACAATAAAGGGATACCAGTACGATACTAATTTGATGTTCAGTTTCATTTAAGATTATAAATTCGAACCCCATTTCTTCTAAAAAAGTACCACAATAGATGGTAGCAGAATTGGTGATGGTGGTAGTATTGTGCAGATGTCGTACATCTAAAAGCATACAGTCTTGCTAGGAGCAGAAGCGTTAAGGATGCGATAAAACATGTGCAGCTTTATAATATGAAAAAGTGTGATGCAATTCGATAAATGATATTTTAGAAGAAAACGTGGCGCGCTTCAGTGCGAAAGAGCTGATGGCGTTTTGTGTTCGAAAATGCGCAAATTTATTCAAATCTCGTGCTTTACAAAAATTGTTCAACGCAGTTTCAATGCGCTAATAAACATGTTTCCAAACGACGGCGTCGGTCAAAATTCTGTCACCAAAAGCACCACACTAAACATTAAGAACATAATTGAAGTCCCGTTTCATCTAACAAAGTACTACAATATTCATATAGATGTCGCTACAGGAAATACGTTTATAGTAAAAATAGTACGATAATTACATTCATTCAAATTCAGGCAAAATACACCTAAAAAAAACGAGAAAATGCCAGGTGCACGCACACGTGCACGATAATCAGTTGTCCGGCCTATACGTCCATCCCACTCTCTTGCTATCTCATAATTGCATATGAAAAGAGAAGGGTAATAAAATAATAAAAACTCCAATTTGCGGCCGCCGGTTTTTTGTTCTGAAAATATTTCTATTTTCTATCTTCTACATGTTATTATGTACATATTTACAAAAAAGGAGGATGGCAAGTGGTTGTACAAATTTATAATATTTGCAGCCAACTAAGTTTTATTTCATATTATTTTCTACATTTTAGTACTTATATGGATTCGGACCAGAGTAGGTGCGAATGTAATTATTTCTTGTATGGATCTTTGAGCTGTTATCTTTTATTGTTGCGTTGTGGCTGCGAAATATTTTATTTGTGGAGTTTACTATTTTTTATATGAAGGAAAAAACATTAACAGAGTAAGTATTACAATTTGCTAGGCATAGTTGTACTTAGTACTAAATTCAAGTAAATAATAGATATTAAAATAAATATGTAGGTATTGTATTTGATTATTTGAAAATAAAAATTACATATGCGACAATGGACTTTCCGCTTACTTAGCCGTAATATAAATATGACATATTGTCGTTGCAATGCACATACAGGCTGTTCCAATAGTGTGACAAAGTTTATAATTATTTTCAGTTATAGTTGTATAGGGCAAAATCTTCAGGCCAAAAACAAGATTTTCTGAACGTTTAATTCGGTCTGAAAATAATGAATAATGGAAATAATAATAAAATGTGAATCCGAGCAAGTAACTTTTTTCGTATCACTACTACAGGCAGTTATACTAAACTTTATCGCACTATTGTGGCACCCTATATATGACTAGATATATCATTATGGTAAATCAAAAGCATAATAGGTAAAAATGTATAATTATCTATGTTTATAACAAATATTATCTGGTAAAATTCTTTTCTTACTTTCAGATACGGAACCGGAAGAAGTCTATATGTTATTTCGTAATATACCTATAGTGGTGAAAACAACCCACTCTATGTAGAACAAATTAAGAAATATGAAGAATTATGGAAAAAATCAATGGCAACAAATTTGGAACAATTTTATAAAAATTGTATACTACCAGAAATAATATACAAAAATATTCCACAGGGAAAAAGATGTATGGATCCAGAATATATTATAGAAACTCAAATTAATAAAAAGAAATAATTTTATTTTATGATTTTTTAAATTTTTTCCTGTTCTACTGTACCTATTCTATTTATTTCTTTATTACTTTCATTTATTTACATATTTATTAAACTACACTGTTCCACAGAATTTCTGTTTATATTGGAGGTATTAAAGTACCTACAACTATTTTTTCAAGTGAAGTGAACTGAATACCTATTTCTCATAAAAAAAATTTAGTCTCAAATCGTCCTTTTGTACATAATTCTTTACACATTTTTTGGACAAAATAAGTATATCGTACATATTTTTTATATTTTCTCATTATTATGTATATTCACAATTAAAATTCTATTTATATTAATATGCGAATTTTTTTTATCAAGAATTACTTAATATTAATTATTAAAAATATAATATTTTCCATTTCTGTTTATAGGTACCAAAGTAAGCCGCTTTATTCACAAATCGTAATTATAACATAACTTTCCGTTATGAACAACTTTTCTTATTAACATTTTTTTATATTATCAAAAACAAAAGCAGTTTATTGTTCAACGTTATTAATTTTATTAAATTTCTGATCACCCTGTATAAATATAAATTACAATTTTTCATGACAAACATATTCAATTAAAAAGCAAAATATTTTTTGTCACGAATTACTTTTTCTAGTAGAATAGAAAATAAAAATGTTTTCCCTCTTATCCACTAACCGTAGATACTAATATAGGTATATTAATTATAAATTATGGTTTTAAATAAACTAAAAATTGTTTATATTTCATATTTTCTAAAATTATATAATAGTATGGACTTGCACTGTTACTTATATACTTTTATACAAAAATATATCTAAAATGATCATGACATTCTTTAAATATTTACGTATCAATTAACAGAAACCATGACTACCAATTCAGAATCAGGTTATACCAAATTAACCACATACAACAGCTGTTCGTTAAAAATAACCCGAGTCCATTCATAAATAAATTTTTACTAGTGCGACATCTATTACAAATCAAGCGAATTAAAAGTCGGAGATAATGCTATTCATGAATGAATATTTTTTAATAATTTTATTCCAATATAACTTTTTAAATAATAAAGTGATGAACAAACTATGAAATAAAGTCTAATCAGTTTATTTATTTAAAGACAACTATATAAAAAATTGCATAATTCTATAATACTATGAAGAAATAATCGTTTCTTTGTAAAAGTCCAAAAAACCTTCATATTTAGAAATTAATTTCTCACGAATTATTTACCTATCCCAATTAATTTTTGCTTTACTGTCTTCATTTATACTTTGCCAAATGTGATATGAAATTTTACTACTTTCTTCCATTGCTTTAAAAAGATATATTGGAATAAAAAAAGGGCTGTTTTCTACCATTTTTCGGTATAATTTAGGCAACCAGAGATGCATCAGTTTCCAGTCTTAAGAACATTTAGTATGCTGCCTCTAGTAAAACAACATTTATCCTTAAAAAGCACCTTGCTTATAAAATCCCGATCTTGTGCTATTTGATGTCGAAACCACTGGCAAAAATCCACACGGGGCTTTTAAATTGTTATTTAAATTGTAATTTAAACCCTTTGTACATGATAGGGGTGTAATAATTGTTCCATTAGTACACGCCACACACAAAAATTAACTTTAGTAATTCTGTAATTTATTAGTTAAAGATGAAGAAAAAGTAAATACATATTTATACATTAATCATTAATATTATGTACATGAAAAATACAACATTTTATTTTCACTTTGCTGCCTTCGTCTGTGTTTTGTTCAATGTCAATACCTATGTATGTTTTCAGCCACGAAAATTGAATAATTCCAATTTCGAATTTTCTGCCCCAAGAGTCACGGTGACAACATTTTTAACATTAAGGCGATGTTTCGCATTGTATTAGCTATGTCCTCTCCAAATTTGGTTTAGTGCAACTCTCTCGGTGTCAAGAATACAATACCTATGTAGTTTTCAGTCACGAAAATTTAATAATTCCAAATATTTCGAATTTTCGTCCCCAAGAATGACGGTGACAATATTTTTAACATTATGACGATATTTCGCACTATGTGCCTTTGCAAATTTGGATAATGCATCTCTCTCACTTTCGATAATTCAATATTCAATGCTATGTAAAATCGATATATTTTTCCAAAAGTTACCAGGAGTGCGGTCGATTTGCGATCTTCAAGGTGTCGAAGTTATAGGATAGTACATGTACTTATTGTTGGTTGCATATTCATTCAAGACCATAGTTCAAATGTCTCGATTTTTTGTTACACACATTGTAGTTTAAATTCATATTTACATTCAGTATTACCCAGTTCAAACCTGAACCACAGAATTATAACACATAATTCTGTGCCTGAACACCTTAATAAAAGTTTTGGCTGGATCTTTTTTAAGTAGAACACTAAAGACTACTTTTGAACAAAACGTCATGCTTTATTTTTACTAATTTCAACATTCAAGAAGTCGTATTAGTGATTGTTTTGTGTAAAATCTGAATACACTCAGCATCCTCTTAAATTGCTATGTACGAATTTCTTAAAAAAAAAAAAGAAATTAAAAATTTTTGTGAATTTTAGAAATGAAAATATTATTTATTTATTATCATAAAGTAAGTCATGCCAATGAACGTCTAACTCAGATAACAAAATTATCTTTAAAAATATTACTAATCAATGAAAACAAGTTTTTCCAATGATGCTATAGAAATTACATGAACCCAATGACAATGATAATGGTATGAGTAATCGTAATGAAGGTACCTACTAAAATTTAAATACTAAAACAACAGGAATAATTTATTAATCTTCAATATGAAGTGTTTTTGGCTGTTTTTATTGGTTAAAAAACTTTAAATTAAACATGAAAAAATAAAATGTTGATAAAGCTCTTGAGAAACTTCCATGAAAAAGTAGTCATTGTTTTATTTATCAAGAACTATAAGTTCTCAAGAACTCCAAAAATTCTCGAAATTAATGAGTAATATTATTAAATTTAATTTTGTTATCTACTTTGGATGTTTATTTTGTTTAATAGTAAACGCATTATATTTTATTAGTGAATTTATCTGCAATTTAAAATTTAAGGTGTGAGTACAGAAGAAAACTAATATAAATTTTTGAATTTGAAGCAATAAACCTTTTAATTTTTTTTATAAAAGGTCCAGATTCACCATTATAATAGATTAAGTAATCATTTTAAAAATGTTAAATTTAGGATGTCTCAGAGAAGTTTCCACAAATTCATTAAAAATTTTTTATTAGAGCAATGTTTTTATAGTCTTGATGATTTTATTTCTTTCGTTACTGTTTAATATTAATGTCCTCTTTTAGTGTAATAGTTGTGACAAAAAATGTACAGTTTTTGTATATGACAGTCAGGACCGTTCCTGGGGTACTTGCCGCCCTGGTGCATAGAAAAATTAGCCGCCCCTACCCCGTAGTAGGTATGTATCTATCATATCATTATGACATTATTAATATCAGGGATTAGAGATGACTATGATGGAAGTGTGTTATTAGAAATACAGATCGATTTATTTTTGCACTAACAAACTTTAATATTCTACTGTAAAATATAATCTAAAAAGTCATAACAAAAATAATAATCAAAAGCTCTAAAACTGATATGGTAACTCACTGGAAAACAGGAACTTCGTATTGCGACTAGTATGAAAGGTATTCACAAAATATAGAATATAAAAATTTTGAGCTGTCTAAACGTCGTAAATCTGACGATAAGTAGGTAATAATTATTGTAATCTTAGAACTCAGCATTAGTTTCGCTCGGGTTCTGTGTTTAGTAATTAGGCGTTCATTTGTTCGTAAACGTCTAAGAAAGACATTTTTAAAACATCCGTGATTTTACATTTTTTAAAAACTAATGCAAAAAATTAAAGGGTCAAAAGAATTTTCGAAATTTTTCCGTGATTTTTGACAGACTGTATTTAGGTAAAAAATAGTCGTATCCGGAATTAAAAAATAGCATTTTGAAGCTCCAAGATTCTAGTTTTTAGATCTTTCGGTCGAAATTTTTTAGGTGCTACCGTTGTCATTCAATTCTAAGAAATAGTGCGACAAAAAAATTTTCCAGTCCACGGACTTGGAATTTTTGGACCAGATAGCTAGTTTATTCAGCTTCAATTTCCTTTTTTTTTAAATTTCGATATGATCATTTTTCATCGAAATATTTTAATGGAAATGGATCATTTTGTTTTCAATCATCGATATCTCGGCGACAAATGCTCGTACAGAGAACTGAAGGGCAGTTTCGAAAACTGGAATAAATTTCCTATATAAACATTCGGAAAAAACATTTTTTATCTTTTACACGAATTTTAAAAAACAGGAAAAAAGGGTAATTATGGTTTTTTAGAAAATTGACGGCTAAATTAGAATTAAACATTACTTTTACAGTTCGATATACCCAGAAAAACCCTGTGCAGTTTCATCTCAATTTAGCGACCCGTTTGTTTGTTTCAAATAGTCAAACTTTTGAAAAAAATTAAAGGGTCACGTTTTTTGAGTTTGAGTTTTTTTGAGGTTTTTTCACATTTACCGCAAATAACGTTTAAATTGACGAAAAAAAAAAGAAAATTTGCAAAATTTTTTTATCACGCTATTTCTTAGAATTGCATGATAACCGTAGCTCCTAAAAAAATTCGACCGAAATATCTCAAAAACTAGAATCTTAAAGCTTCAAAATGCTTTTTTTAATTCCCGATACCCCATTTTTCACCTAAATACAGTCTGTCAAAAATCACGGAAAAACTCTTGACACTTTAATTTTTTGCATTAATTTATGTAAAAAGTGTAAAAACAGTATATTTAATACTACATTTTTTATAAGACGAAAATTAATATACATTTTATCTTTTGCAGTCTTTGCTGCTATTGTTTAAATATTTTTAGTTAGGAATCTGGGGAAGATCAGGACAGAAAAGTTGAATTTTGGCCGCCCTTGTAGCTCGGCCGCCCTGGTGCCGGGGCACCACCAGCACACTGCCCAGGAACGGCTCTGATGACAGTGTCAATAAAGTTTATATTCTATTCATTTAAAACCAGTAACCCTGTACCTTGTTACGCCTTTATCTAGATTATAGATTAAAAAACAACTCACGTAAAATAATAAGTTTATGAACTACGTACAAAATATTCGATAACATAAATTCAATCTATACACTAGAAACATATTTATTGAGAAGTACGTATGTGTCATGGATATCGAACAAAAATTCGCTCACTATCCAAACAGTCTTGAGTAGACAGAAAAACAGCACCAGAGACACGGAAGACACGACACTTAAAATATCACAGAAGAAGACGTAGTAAAAATAAATAAATTTAAGATATACGAAAAATAAATATGTTATCGGGCTGAGGCAGGCCAGCATGTTGATTATGATAGTCTTTTGTTATCACCCGTCACTTGACACATAAATATTCGGTAAACAATGCTTCGATCCAATTCCTTCAGCGATGGTAACCTTTGATCAACCGACGTTGTCCTGATGGTCATTAAAGGTAGTAGAAGAATCCTACAATAGGAAATAATACATTTGTACACTAATTGTTATTTAATCGTTTTTTTTACAGCGTAATCATATAGTGAGTGTTAAATTTTTATAGACGTAGGCTGTAAATAAATAAACTATAAACGACTCTACACAATCTGCTATTTTTAGTTAACCGAAATGATTTTTTTCTCAAAAATCGATCTCTGTAAAAACACAGACTTAGTTTAAGTATCTTGGCGTGTCTTTAAGTGTATTGTCACCAAAAATTAATGACTGATTATAAACTAACTAAACTGATAAATATTTGATCACAATAACGCAAAATTATTCTTATAGCTTAATGTTCACAATTTTTATGTAATTATAATAACAAAATAAATATCAGGGACATACCTTCTCGCTTAGTCAACAATACTTTTCGTGAGAAACTTTCAAAGTAGCTATAAAACAAACAGCTTACTCAGATAAAACCCTGTCTTATATAGCAAAAATTAGTCGTTACTGTTTATCATTTATTGTTTACAAACTGATGATAATGTTTATATTTCCTACCTTTATCGGAGAAAATAAGGAGGCCTAGTGCTGGAAACCAGTAATGTTAATAAACAATGCGCAGTCCTTTATTTTTGTTCACATCGAAAAACACTTCCTCATCTTTATGTAAACAATATTGAAAACAACAACTGTACAGTGATTTTTATGTAGGCTCGTCAAATTTCGTAATTTAACGTTACAAATTCAAGATAATTTTCGTCACAAAATAAGTACGAACCGATATCGTTATCTTTATTTTCGTGTTTCTATCTGATTGTGCCATTTTTAATTTGTTTATATATCTAATAATTAGAATTGTATACACGTTTATTAATTTATTTGTCGTCAATTTTATAAAAATGAGAACAAAATAACAATATGTTTAGTAGGTATAAATATAAATAATGAAATACTAATAGAAAAGATCATCTCTTCAACGGTACACCCAGAAAAAATGTTACACAACAAATCGCATGAGTTATGAAACACCCTGTATAGAGTAAATATCAAACTGAAGAAACAATGCCAAGAATAATGTGGAATTAAAAAGATCTCTTTGTAGTAGCTGTTTTTTAAGTCATTAGTCTTTGCACAGACAAAACAGCTATCGCCACAGACCGCTCCTGGAATAGGTCGGCAGTTTTAAATTTCCGAATTGCCGGTAGAGTACACCACCAGCAGAATTTTAGGAAGAATCAAATGCAGCGGCCCGCATCCTAGCAACATATAAACAAGACTTTGATAATGTTGCCAGGCGTACTTACGTATTTCTTTTGTACGCTTTCTTATCAATATCTGTTTTTTGCGTTACTGTATTTACTTAAATGTATGATGTAGGTATTGATAGAAATGTTTTTAAAGAATCAACGAATATCTATGTAGTTTCATATGATATTCTGCAGCGGTGTTACAATTAAGTTATTTAATCATAATTTCGTTAATTAGCTACCTACTATTTTCATTTTTTGGTATTGAAATACTGCAGAAAATATATTTCAAAACAAACAAAATCCGTAATAATATTTTAAACAGCTTGTAATATAATTTTTTTAATATTTGATAATGACGATAAATTTATTTAATATACAAGGTGGGTTATTAGTACGTCGCGGAATGTAGGTACAGGTTTTTTTTTGTATTTTGACATCCACTTATAGGTTTAATAATTAAAGATAGAAAGAAACTTTAAATACAAATGTACGACTTTTCCTTTATTTCATTTGACATCAAAATTTACTGGCATAAAATATATATGTTTAAAATAAAAAAAATCATTAAAAAAAATTAAAATTCATCCTTATGAAAATAACAAACAACGCTTTTTATAACTAACCTTTACAACAACATAAGGAGAATAACTAAAAACGAAATAACATTAATATACCTACAATTTTTACAAATCAACATGCAAGTGATTGTGATGATACAGTTGAAAATATGTTTCAATTTACTATTAATTGCTTCAAAAACAAATTCAAAATTATCAAGCATTTCGTCCTGTATTTTTTTTTCAATACTTGCAAATTTTCAGGTAAAAAAAAAATGTCTAAAGGACTGACAATGAGATCGGGGCTGTTTTCTGGCCACCTAAGGTTTCTAATAATATTTTTTAGTGTTCGTTGACGGGATTCTTCCTCCAAAATAAATTTGCCAATATTCCTGAAGAACTTTTGCACATTATTGTTATTTGAATAATACAGTTAATTATGTTTTATTTTTCGTCATCAGAATAACCCATTGTAATTTTTTTAATTTTTTAAATTAAAATGGGTTATTCTAATAATGATAAATCCCATGTATTTTTAAAAGAAGGTTCGTTTCTGTCGTTTTTGTCTGATTGTGTGCGAGAGAGATAGAGTTATAGTGTGCGATAGAGATAGAGTGACTCTGTCCTCATAGAGAGCTTATCTCTCTCTCTCTCTCTGCTGTCTTCAGGAGTCTCCCCAGCAATTTCAGGACACCTAGGGAGGGAACGTGGGGTAGAGCGCGTGGCCTTGTTAAGCCTTCGTTATCGATCTATGATGTCACACAGTATAAGAAAAAAAAATGGTTTTTGCTCGTAACTCGGAAATGGCTGGAAATATAAACAAATTTCCCCTTGGTTCTGAGTAGAGCACTCGGTGGGTGACGCAGAGCGGGGTGTCACAATATATGAAAGAAAAAAAAACAGTATTTGCTTAGACTCTAAGTATCAAAAAATCTCCCATGGTGAACAAATAAATCTCCCATGGTGAACCAGTGAAAAACGTCAAAACCCGCATGTCAAAAAAAAAATCGGGAGCAATGGTGTGTGACATCATAGGATAAAAAAGTGTTTATAACTCGGAAACGGTGCGTTAAATCGAAAAAATAATTGAATAATTCTCCCCATACCCCTGGTTCTGTGTGTCAGTACAGTTAAAAAGGTCTTATAATTCGGAAACGGTGCGTTGAATTGAAAAATAATTGAAAAAATCTCCCCACTACTCTGGTTCTGATTGTCCGTTCTGCGATGAATGGAAACGGTCCGAAGTCAGTATGTCGAAAAACAAAAACGTTAGTCAAAAATTGCAACAGCAGTAGCGAACGCATTATCTTATCTCTGTATTGATTGATGATTTGTTGTTTTTTTTTTTAAATAAAGTTCGTATTCAACTACTCTTTGAGGTTCCAGCAATTTTACATTGTGTTAATTGTTTTGAACACCTTGTGTCACAAATATGACCACTACAAATGACATCTATGATACGCAACACTTGTGTCAATAATTATTTTACCTATCTAAAGAAATCAACAATAAGAGGCAGTACCCATCTAAGGATACACAACCTGTATAGTAATGCAACTTTTTTAAACATAGGTGTTAATATCGTACCATATTGGAAGTCGACGCACAAATCTAAAAACATTAATTTCAAGTTTTTAAATTTTCCCATTCCAAGGTGATATAAAATAAATAATTAATTAGGTAAATTCATAGTTTTAATTCTAACTTGATTTATTTTATTTTACATTTAAGGCAAATGTGATTTCCAAACACAAGATAAGTTCCTTATCTCTTTAATTACATAATTGAAAGCATTAAATTTATTTAGCAGTTATTATTTGGTAACAAAACCAACGCTGGAACTGCCGCCTATTACCAAGTAGAAGAGTTACCACGCTAAATTTTATAGCTGGAAGCCAACTAAGGAGACCCTGCTTCCATTTCGGGTTGCCAATTTCCAGCATTTAAGTAGCAGTCTATAGCGATACGCTATATTGTCTGTGGTCTTTGTTAAGGGTGATCATAGAACAGCAAGAATACAGGATATATCACGTAACAATCAGGTACTACATTTTATCTGGGATTGTTTCATCAGACAACTTCTCGCATGGAATTAATAAATATTAACAGAAAAAAAAATATAAACAACAAACTGATGAACCAATTCCGAGTAAAATGTGGAAACGAGAAGGTATCTTTGTTCCTCTAGTAGCCGTTTTTTATGTGATTAGTATTTGTCAAGGGTAACAATAGAAGCAATATAGAATATTTGTTTCAAAGGACATCCCTGACAGTCATTTGTTTTTTAGCCATACTTTTTTTGTTGGTAGAAATTTCGTAAAAACTTGGTCTAAATCGGTCCTTCACTTGTACGAACTATTGCAGTAACTGATTTCAAAGGAACTTCACGAATTTATTATCACATTAGAAACAATCTTCTGGCAAATTGGTCCTCAGTAGATTATTCCAAGTACTGTAAAATTCCTTGACAGTTGAATCTTATGAAGGGCGGTATCTGAACTCAGGTCGACGCTGGTGTTTGTTATCTTAAACTTATGAATGTAATTCTTATGTCAAATAAATTCACTACACTCGTAAACGAATTCTTATCACTTTTTATTGCAAAAGTGTAAATGTACCTATCTGATACGTTTCAAACTAGCGGATCCAAATTCTGAATAAAATCAAGTACTCTATTTTTATGAATTTATTATACTACGCACGTAACTGATCACACATTCTTAAAATTACAATCAGTAATAGTTCGCAGAATCATTTATCTATAAAAGATACATTTATATTTGTACACGTAATACTAACCCATATCATTTGCAAAACAAAAAAACAACACCCATAATAATAGAGATAAAAATAGAATTATCCTTGTAATGACAGTAACTTTACAATTGTATGTTGAAACTGTGGAATTTATTATATACAGTAGGTACTGAATTAAAAACAATATTTTATTACATATAATAACAGTAGAACTTGTTAGATATAGGGACATTTAAATCGAAAGTCACAAAAATACATCTAACTACGAAGAAAAACAAAGTCTGTAGAATTACAGCTATCAAATATATTGTTTGCCAAAAATAATTAAAATAAATGAAGAATATCTTGGTGTTAAAAAGTATAAAATGCAAAATTAGCCAGACATACATAACGCCAACAAAACTGGTTATTGTCTCCAATAAAAGATTTTGGTCGCACACTGTACTGATAGAACCAGGTGACGTTGACTGAACAAATTTTACCTGAAAAATATTTAAACGTTACAGATACATACAACACAGTAACTGTAGTGCATTCATGCAAAAATATTATGAAATCATATAGTTATTTTGAACCATGGCTGGCCTCCTAGCAGACCTGATCTATATTCTGTAAATTGCAGGTGTCTTCATAAATGGAGACCATTTAGACTAGATCAGAAAACCTAGGAGATCACTGTGTTTTAGTTGATGTTAGCAGAACATACATTAAACTAACGACTTTTGCTTTCTGTTTGTAACTATCTTATTTTTTCGAGTTTTTTGCATTGTTTATAGAAAATCTACGCAAACAAATAACATAGAAATTAAACATTAAACAAGTATCTACGTAGGTACATGTAAACAAATTGTAAATAGCATCATGGTGATAAGACGCTTTACTAATGCTTTTTAAATTTGTTTGTTTCTATTTGTGTCTATCTTCATAATATTTATTACAAGTTTAATAATGTTATACAATAATATTATCTGGCTTTGCAGATGGTACTTCTAAATTTGCAGTTGTTATCAGGTCCAGTGGAATTTTCCGTTTTTAATTTCTCAAAAACTTTGACCTATCAACAAACGACATGAAACACCAGGAAAATGAGTAATTTTTTTTATAAATTTATTTTTTACGGGCAAAGAAGTACATAATTCTTTTTATGAATAAAAACTAGGTACTGCTTACTTACTGTGATAAAAATACAGCATCAGCAATTGACACTAGGTATGCGATAACTGTGCTACACTGAAATTTTACCTGAACTTATAAAATAAAGCCTGTCCTAATAATTCTACAAGCATAATAATTAAATCGGCTCTCCTCAAAGTAAATTTATTTCTAAAACCTCTTATCAATTTGAGTTAAAAAATAACAACTACCTATTACAAAGTGGAATAAATTGATAGTAATTCTACAACTTCTCGTTTTAAAGAATATAACAACTTTATCTAAAGTTCAAAAAAACAATTAGAGTCGAATGTTTTAGATTTTCTGAGAGTTTTCTCCTATTTCCTCCCAGTTAAATTTTTTTAACCTATGGCAACATTTAAATCCTAGTATTTATAAAAGAAAAAATGTATCGTTTTTTTTTCTGTGAAATGAATAATTTTAGCGTTACTCTTATTTATTTAAAAGTGATAATCATATTTCATATTAGTAAAAATTGTCTCTCATTAATTGCTATCCATATAAAATGGAAATAAACTCTTTTTCTTTGAGATACAGTTAGTAATAAAATGCAATAATCGAATTTCGGAAATATTCAGTGGCGTCGAAATTTTCAGGTAATTAGTAATTATTTTTTTTTGTTTATTTATTGGGTATTTTGCTATCTGTGAACAAAATTTAGCTATATTTTACAACAAAAATTTTATACAACCGAGCTTTAGACGCTAAGATTAAAATATTTATTGTGACTAATAATTTTATTAAACTATATTTTAGAATATCGTAGAAAAATATTTGTATTTCTATTTGATGTATTAAAATAGAACACAACATGTTTACAAGATATTTTTACACGCGCACTTATTATAAGAATTCATTTAAAAACGTTTTAAATGTTTTTTTCTAAAAGTTGATTGTATACGATGTCGATATAGACATTTCTTTCGACATATAAGAAAAGTTCGCTAGAGTTACATTTTTTATTTTAATTTTTCAGTTACTAATGTTGACATTATTTATTTTATTATGTTTTAGCTATATTGTAAACGTTAGTTTAATCGTTAATTGAATAGCGAGACATAATCACAGGTAAGTAGTAAAATTTTTAGAAAATATCTAAAACATTTTAATAAAAAAAAATAATTTTCTGTGCCTTACAATGGAACCATTCATTACTTGCTCGATAAATAAGACAACAAAGAAACCTGATAATGAAAATGCATTCGCAATGTTTGCTCAACTGCAGATAGAGAAAAAAGAGTTGCAAAAGCCACATTAATGTTTTGAAGTCGTTGGTAATAATCGATAAGCCCAACTATATAAAGGTGATTCTTTCAATTTAGTTTCCACCGTGCAAGAAAATTCGTAATAAGTTGTAAAGGATTTAGCTATTGATTTTAACATTTTTTAACATAGAAAGTTAATTGTTTCATCCTTTACGTAAGTAATTTTTGTTGCTTTAGAATGAAATTCTGGGTATTTTTATTTCTTGTAATTGTTACGGTCCACGCCAACTCTGAAGAAGATGAATGGACCAAATTCAAGGTAACTTTCCTAAAAAAAAATATTATTATTATTATTATTATTATTATTATTATTATTATTATTATTAGGTACTGTTTTTTTTTCTGTAAGGTAAATCATAGGAAACTGTACAGAAGCTCGTCGGAAGAAAACGTGCGGGAAAAAATCTTCAAAAGCAACTTGCGCAAAATCAACGGCCACAACAAAAGGTATCAAAGGGGCGAAATTTCATATGAACTGGGCATCAACCACTTCGCTGACATGACCAAGGACGAATTCACGAACATGCTGAACTTGCAGAAGAAACTTAGACCGTACATACTAAGAGAAAACTTTTACCCCGCGGTGGAATCGCCAGAACAGCTTCCAGCGGTACTGAACTGGACTGAAAAAGGAGCCGTTACCGAAGTTAAGGATCAAAGGATATGCGGGTCCTGTTGGAGCTTCAGCACGGTAAGTGACTTACTGCAGACAAAAAATAAGTGTTAATATACGAAATTGATATAGACGGGCGCCATCGAAGGCCAGCTGTTCCTCAAAACCGGGAATCTAACCCCTCTCAGCGAACAGAACCTGGTGGACTGCGTCACAGACTGCTTTGGCTGTATGGGAGGACTCATGGACAAAGCTTTGGACCACGTAAGTCGGTATGGCATTATGGCAGAAAAAGAGTATCCTTACGAAGGGCGCGATGGACGTTGTCGGTTCGATAGTTCGAAAAGTATTACTAGAATTCAGTCAATTTGGTTTATTCCATCGAACGATGAATACGCCTTACAAACAGCTGTGGCCGAAGTGGGTCCGATATGTGTGGCTATAGACGCAACGGACCTACAATTTTACAGTGGAGGTAAGTAAAGGAAATTACAAAATACTAATAGATGGACTAAAAATGAAAGTAAAACTTAAATTAATATTGTTCTGCTTCAGAGAAATATATTTTCTAGAATAATTGAAGGGATGATCAAGAAATTCTGTAAAAAATATTTTTTTATTCATAATTTTGATCAATATTGAAAATATTTGCATAAATGTTTCACAATTTCGAATACGTTTTTACTTTAAACAAAAGATGTCGCCTCTGTTGGTGATACGCAAATGTTTACGAATGCAGTGTTGTCAGCGCCAGTACAAAAGTATAGATACGTTCCTCAGTGTTACCATTTCTGCATAGCATAAGTACTTTTCACCTTTGACAGCGAAGCGGACCTTCTACTGTCCAATTAATTCAGTGTTCACTGTTCAGTGAGTTTCTATCTTTACTCATAGATGATGATCAATTATCACAATATGATCTCAATCTCAATTTTGTGATTAAATTTTCCCGGTCCTAGATCATAATCGCAAGTTTTTTCTCGAATTATTTTTCCTGGTCTATTTGATTTAGGAAAAAAAATCTGTTTTCGTGACTTTTTCTTCAAATTAGTACAATTTTCATCATTTTATTAACTCTTACTGACAACGCTGAACAAATCAGCACAAAGTTGCAATTTATATGCTGTGGTTTAAGTTAAAAATAACGTGATACTATCACAATATTTTATTCAATCACTAATACTTATGTAAGTTATTGTTTAAAAATACATAATTTTGTTTTTTGTAATTTATCTTACTAATTTTTATGGACAACCTTCTACTTATTATTGCCTCTTGCAATAACTCATTAGATAACTCATTTTCTTCTAGGAGTATACCAAAACGACTTTTCTTGTGGTAACAGTATATGGAACTTAAATCATGGAGTTCTAGTGGTGGGTTATGGCACAATTAATGGATCAGACTACTGGCTAGTGAAAAATTCTTGGGGAAAGTCTTGGGGAGTTCAAGGGTACATTCTGATGGCACGAAACAAAAACAACCAATGTGGAATCGCAACAGACGCCTTGTTTCCACAGTTGTAAAACTTTAGGTACAAAAATTGTGAACTGTTTGAAAACAAAATAATATTATATATTAGGCTAATAATATTTATATAATTGTTTGTTTTATAAATTAATTTGTAAAAAAAAATATGTTTGCTCTCTATTTTAATTAGGGCAAGAGACAAAAAAATATATATTTTTAACTACTTGATCAGAAAATTAATATTAAACTCATAGAAAAGCAGTGGTGTGTTCATTTATTTTCTATAAAATATCCATTTCAAGATGCCCTACATCAAATTAAATTTACTTTTTACCAAAAATATCATCCAAATCGGCCAAGTAATTTTTGATATAAACTGAGCAAATAAATTTAAGTAGAAAAATTTCCAAATTTTTGGAAGGCTGTAACTTCCTGAATAATGGTCAAATAGAGAAAAAAAAAAAGTTTCCTGAAGCTTGAAGATTAGTTTTGAAATATTGATGAAACATTTTTTTTGAACATCTCTTGGTGCAATCAAAAGAAATACTTAATGCAAGGCAAAAATTTTACATTTTAATGGCTTAATGAATGCCTGGGTCATTTATCCTGATTGAACAGCTTCAATTTGTTTTTTTTTTATTTTTTGAAATGGAAATCAATCGTTTAGGTTTATTGCTCCTTAAACATCAATTAATGAAGATACAAATTTGTTTCGTTATTTTTCTTACAATATTGCTTTAAATACTCATTAAATATCGAAACAAAAATCAAAATTTTGACAAATTCAATTTAGAAAAAAAATTAATTTTTTTAAATTTTTTTACAGTAGGTATCTCTTTTTACAATTTCAAAAAAGGACCTTTGAAGAGGATTGATACAAATTTCTAAAACCCATCTTTCGTTCGCTGTACGATCATTAATTCATAAGATATCGCTGATCAAAAATAAAAATGACTTCACTAGCCAATATCTCAATGAGAAATAAGATTAAGCCAGAAAAAATTTTTAGTTACTTCTTAATACTTACTTTTGTATTCACAAATACCAATATAAAATATTTGCATTCACATTTGTATATCCAGAACAACTTTAATTTTAATATCACTTAGAATTACTAGAAAATGTTTGTAAAAAAAAAATTTTTAATTATTACTTACTTCCTTATTTATTACACTTTTATATCATATTTTAGTTTTTCATAATCTTCATTTAAAAATCAAATAGACTAAAATAAGTTTAAAAATCAGAAATTTATAATTTTAAATTTTAATACACAGAAAGGTTGTCTGTATATAGAATAATTCTTTAATAAATATAATTACACACTTTTCTTTAAAGGAATATCCCAAAAACTAAAACTGCGATTAACAATCAAATTTGTGTGTATATTTTCTAACTAAAATTAACTACAACGTAAATCTTGTTTAGATAAATTTAAAATTACGATCTTTGTACGCTACTTCACCTCTTCTTATTCTATCTTCTTCATCCATCCTTGTTTTCTTAACTAAATATCCAAATCCAACCATGGGGATAACCATAAATAATAGACCATAAAGAACATTTTTACCAGAAGGCTTGAAATATTCAAATCCGCTAACTTTCATCGCTGTGTACCTCTGCATGGCAGGATCAAACTAAAAAAGGAAATATGGTAAATATCCATATACATTACTAATTGATTATTATTTTAGAATGTTTCCAGAAAACTGGAATAAAACTAATAAAAAGAAATAAGAAAAATAGGTGAAAATCGATTTTGATTTTTGACAAACAAATAACTTTGAGGTTAGATTTTGATGACATAACAACTGACATCTAGACATCCAAGGTGTCTTGATTACTTACCACTGTCCCACCTTCGCCTGAGGCATGTTGAAATGGGTCTGTCTTTAACTTAAGGAACTGTTCTCGCAAAGTAGCTCTTCTTTTCGCTTTTTCTTCAATAATCTTCCGGGATTCGTTGTCAATATCAAATTGTTGAGACATTTTTTTTTAGTGCACTGCACTTACAGTGTACCACTTCACACCAAATAAGTCCAGTCTAGTGTGCCTGCCGGTAAGAGTTGACTATTGGCCAACCTGTTTAGTGTAAAATTTTAATTCATATCTTTATTAAGAAATTTGTATAAAAAAGATATACTTTATTATGTATTTCTGCATAATTGATAATTTTTTATATCTTTTAGAATTGCAAAATTTTATACGGGAATCCTAGATTAGAGAAATATAATATAACTGAAATGCAAAATAAATATGGAACGTAGGTGGAAACTAAATTCGGTTGTATCACAAGACATCATGAATTCAGGACCGGATTTGTATTTCAAATAGTGAAATACATAAGTTATTTAAATTTTTATAAAATAAAATGGGTTAATAATTCCATCTTTCTTAAATTTTAAAACTTTTCAGTATTATTTCATATGCAGTGTGTCCGTAATTGCATATAATTTTGGCACATATTTCTTGGCATACTATTTTTTCCCAGATTTACTAAACTTTAAAATATTAATTTTTTTATAAAAAGAAACATCTTTTTTATTTAAATTTAAAAATGTTCATGTACTTTGTTACGCGTTTAATAGGGGAAAATATTTTTATTATACAATTAGGCAATAATTTAAAAGAATTGTGGAAGAAATAATGTACAAATTATAAAGTTCTGGTCTTAAATGTAAGAAAAAAATATCTTACCAAGACATAAAATAAAATTTTACCCAAGTCTCTCAGGTTTACACACTGTTAAATGATATTATATCTGGATCAAAGTTGTCATTTTGTATTATAAAAGAAAAGTATATCTACGTAAATTTTTATTTGTTTATCTTTAGGCATTTGTAAATTTTCAAAAAAAAATCAGGAAATTTTCGGCGCCGTGTTTATAAGAGCTTTTCTATTAGTACATAAATTTATTATTAATGTATTTTATAAATACATATATATTTTTTATACCTTTTGCGAGAAATAAATAAAAAATACTTTTCATGAGCTAAAAATTGACATTAACAAAAAATTCTTTTGTGTACAAACCCTTTAATTTAATATAAGTAACATCTTTTGGCTACTTCGTCTCTGTGGAACATATTTTAGTTTTATTGAATGGAGTTACGACATACGATCAGAATGCCGTCGTCTCCTTTGAAAGACATGGAAGTAAAAAAGATAGAAATGTTTCTAAACAGATAAATGGAAGTTGCCACCACCCAATTTGATTTGTTTTTTGTTGTGGTCGGTTGTTGGTTGTTGTTTGTTGATCAAAAAGGGAAAAGAGGTGAAAGAGTGTTTTTAAATATAGAGGCGTAATTAACTTCGTTGCACTGATTTGATTTGTTTATTTTTGTAATCTCGAATGAGGACGCAAGGGGAAAACCATAATTATCACAATATTAACTAATTTATTTTAATCCTCTTTTGGCCATTGGTGAAATCGGTCCAACAAAGGAAAGAACGTGAGTAGCAATTTTTTTTGTTAAATGTGACGCAATTTATTATATTATTGCACTGACAAAAATTGTTTGAATATTTCTTTGTTGAGAGTATTTTACACAATTGCCCAGACTATAATTTGTTCAAAACTTCATTACAATTTCATTGTTTTTTTTTTTATTTAATGCGTAGTATATTTTTTCAGGATGAAGTTACTTATTCTTTTTGCCACAATAGTCATAGGCACCCAGGCCATTTCATTTTTCGACCTGGTTCAAGAACAATGGACATCATTCAAGGTAAGAGCTCTATCTTATTCATTGTCATGTCCTTCAGGTATAAATTGGGGAAGGAATCAATATTTACCCCAGAAAATTCAATCCTGAATATCAAATAAACTTTAAATTTGTCTAGAAAACGACTGGCTAGATTAAATGTTTTGTTTGTACCTATTTGAAAATTTGATTTAAAATACATCATCTGCAGTTCTAGGAATATGATATCATCACACCGTTGGGTATTGTACATAAAAGTGGAATATTACATTGCAGTAAAAATGTTGAAAAACAATTCACCGTAACATGAGCATCATCATCATCATAACTTATGACTTTCCAACAAACAGAAATATTACACCAAAGTGACTATACCCACTTTTTGCATTCCTTGGCACATAGACCAAACAGGAAGTAGATTAACAATTAATTATTATGTTTGGACTAAATTTTATTTCCGAGTCACAGATTATTTTAAATGAATATTTTTATTAAAATATTTCCAAAAGCTTTTTTTTTAACAAAAGAATAGTTCATATTTTTTAGACTAATATATTATTGTTATTTTCTAAATAATATTTGTATTCAGGGTTTTTACAGACATTCAAAGTGTTTACCATATTAATATATTTTGCTGAGCGAACGTTAAATATCCTGATATGCGCATTATTTTGACCCCTAGGGTTATCACATGTCACAAGTTTTTGTCACATGAGTACGATTATCAGTTTGTATCATTTACTCAATTTTAGTAACCTGTGACATGAAAATTCATATTTTGCTTTCTCGTTTAATTTTATTAATTTTGAAAATAGTACGTAATTAAATATTTGTAAATGCTTTATCAATTTGAGAAATTTTTCTTCGCTAAAGTTGTTTTTGTAAGGGGCAATGGATTTCGTCAAAATGAATATTTTTAACCAGTTTTGTTATTCTAAATACTTACTTTTACTTGTTTACAAAAATATTAAATACATTTTTCACAGTAATACATTTCTAGACACTTTAAACAATTTTTGCGTAATAAAGTTTTTTATTTCCATTCAAATAATGCTAACCAGTAGCCCCGAATTAAAAAAATATCAAAGCAATATTTGCAAATGTTTTAAGAAATAATTCCAAAAAAATTATGTTACCTTAAAAATTGAGAAGTTTTGGACAAAATTATAAAACAAAAATTATTGCTTTTATGTGTTAAATATGTGCTTAAAATTTTGGATCTCATTTCTGGTTTTTGGGACACTGTATATTTGTGATGAAATAAATAAATAATTATGCATTGGTCATCTGTGGCATTGTGGTCATCTTAGACCACAACTTGATGTATTTAAAAAGAAAAATAACGGATATTTCCAGCTTCTGAATAGAAAAAAATGTTTTTATTGAAATTCATACAAAACCACCTTTGAAAACCTCGTAATTCTCATTGAGTTGTTTTTAAAGGAATAAATAAACTGTTTCTAGTAAATCGTGGGTGTTGTTTCTGGGTTATTAATTAATTATGATTTAATGCATGATTTTTCTACTAAAGCTACAAAAACTTGAATAAAAAGTATTACTTTTTGATTAAAACATGTATAAAACTGCAATAAATACAATAAGTTACGAAGTTTTCAGTCTGCAGATATTGTAGTTTGCCTTATGATGTTTTCATACTAATTGAAAGATGAGCTAAAATTGTAAAATTATTTGTGAGATTCTCAAAGTAAATACGAGGTACAACAAAAGAACTAGAAGACAGCAGACTAAAAATGTCATCTTTGAAAACAAATGAACTTACGAGGCGTCTAAAGTAGGGTTTCAATATAAAAATTTATAGGAATTAAATAAGTTATTGGAAAGGTACGATATTGAATGTACAGTCATCGATATTTTGACTATAGGTTGGGTTGTCAGTTATTAAAAATAAAAATGAGAAAATACACAAGTTGTAACATTTTTCTTAATTTTTTAATAATGTATTCATATCAACATTGTGTTAAAAAAGTATGAGACAATTGTACAATTCTTAAACAGAACACCAGGTGTATTTTCAAATTTTGTTAGACTGCTTTCTCAGGATCATGGGTACCTATTTAAAAAAATTACATTATTATTCCTTACTAGACAGTCTAAATAGTCATTGTCTGAGACATATCTACTTTAATACTGACTATATAGATTAATTCATTGTGTATAAAAGTTTTGGTTGGTATAATGTTAATTTTTGATAAGTATGAAACATTGTACTTTGTTTGCTGGATACAAGGAATCCTTTATCACTTTGCCTTGTCAGCAGACATACTAATTTGGTATTTTAACAATTTTATCATCCATATGGAAATTTGTATGGAATATTATTCACTTTGACTTACTTACCTACTAGTTAGCGCAGGACTATCAGCTCTATTGAATCGCCTGAAAGAAAAAGAAAAATTTACAGTCTTTTACGAATTACAAATTTTTCAAATGATGTTATTGTTCTACACCATTTAAAAAGATGATGGTGTTCTTTTTATTTTATAAAATAACCATTATAGTTTGGTTTCACATTATTTCGTAGTATAATAATAGTCATTTTCTTCTGTAAATATATTAAATATTATTTCAAATTCTGTGATGAAATTACGTTTTAGATTGCAAATAAATATCATCCAAGTAAATTGTTTGTTTTCACAAATATTTATCTGAGAGTATTACTTTTAATATATTTATTAACTTTTTTGAAGCAGTCATAACATTGTAAAATACCATGAATTAAAAAGGACAAGATAACATCTGGTACGTTGCTTTTGAAAATAAATTACAATTTGTAGCGATTTTGATGAATCTGTTTTGCCTAGTTATTAAAATTCTCTTACCATTTATTTCACATTGGCTTCATCTGTTATAAATCGTTTAATTTCAACTGTAAATAAATTTTATTCAGATAACTCACAAGAAACAATACGAGAGCGAAATCGAGGAACGCTTCCGCATGAAAATATTCATGGAAAATGCCCATAAGGTAGCCAAACACAACAAACTCTACGCCCTGGGTCACGTTAGCTACAAATTGGGCATTAACAAGTATGCCGACATGCTACACCACGAATTCATACACACGCTCAACGGTTTCAATAAAACCAAAAAGTTACTGGGTGGCACGAAATTGGAGCAAGCTGTCACTTTCATTCCCGCCGCAAATGTCAAATTGCCCGATGATGTAGATTGGAGGACAAAGGGAGCCGTCACGGCAATTAAGGATCAGGGTCATTGCGGGTCGTGCTGGAGCTTCAGTGCCGTAAGTAGATTTTTTTTGGCATTCAGTGTACTTTTTAACATGGAAAATAACTATTCTATGCAATTTTTTTAGTTGGATAAATCTGGGTCTGTATTTTAACTATTTGAGTATATCTCGAAAACGAAGCAAAATTTGTGGGTTTTGCATAGAAAAAATTTTGTAGACAATGAGATTTTCTATCGAAATAGCTTATTTAAAAAAATTTTAAAATTTACTTACTGCAAAATATATTAAAAACAATTAATTGAACAAAAAACAATTTTTTTTTTTTTACTTTTATGCAAATAACTTTTTTCTGAGCAGAAATAGGCATTGTTTCATCGAAAAAAAATGATATAAAATTTCCTCCAAAACAAGGTTGTAAAATATTTTTGAATGAAAATGGACTGATATTTGGCCGCTCAAACTTGGTCAATTTTTCGATTTTTTTATTTTTTTTACTTTTTTAATATAATAATTTAGTAAAAACTTGAGAATTTAAGTACAATAAAGTTTATTAATAATGTATATACAGTGTGTCCACGGATGGAGTTGACAAGAGGAGAAACTTTTTGTTTTTGACTTTATCGAAAAATGTCGCTCTTTATAAAAAGTTCTGCCCCTCGAAAAAATGAGACTGTCATACAAACATCTTAGATTAGATATACAGGGTGCTCATAAATTAAAAAAACACAAAAATACATGAGAGAAGTACCATTATTTATTATTTTACACAACATTTTTATAAAACAAATTGTTTATAACCTCAAATAATGTTCTAATACAAATTTTAAAATAAAAACTTCAATTTTGTCTTGTATTAAGACATTATTTGAGGTTACAAACACATTTGTTCTATAAAAATGTTGTGTAAAATAATAAATAATGGTACTTCTCTCTTGAGTATTTTTGTGTTTTTTTTTTTAATTTATGAGCACCCTGTATATCTAATCTAAGATGTTTGTACGGCAGTCTCATTTTTTCGAGGGGCAGAACTTTTTATAAAGAGTGACATTTTTCGATAAAGTCAAAAACAAGAGTTTCTCCTCTTGTCAACTCCATCCGTGGACACACCGTATATACATTATTAATAAACTTTATTGTACTTAAATTCTCAAGTTTTTACTAAATTGTTTTATTAAAAAACTGAAAAAAAAAATCTTATTTTTTGCCTTCTTTAAAATTGTTTATTAACGATTTTTTTGCATAAAATTTTCCTTTTACATTTTTTAAACAAGCCATTTCGATGAGAAATTCAATTTTCTACAAAATTTTTCCTATGAACTTTACCAAAATTTTGCTTCGCTTTGTTTTCGTGCTAAATTTAAAAAACTGCAAAAGTGCTTTTTCACATCTATCTTCAATTTCAACCTTCTAATTTAATAACACCCCGTGGTTTTTTCATTTTTAATTACCCTTCCAGTAAGTCATGATGAAAATCCTTGAATGTCTTTACTTCCTTCCTTTTTTGCAAAAAAATGAGAATTAAAACGTATAAGGGTAAACGCGACGAAAATAAAAAAATTGGCTAAGTTTGAGCAGCCATATATTAGTCAATTTTCATCAAAAAATACTCTACAACCTCTTGTTTTGAAGGAAATTTTATCTACTTTTTTTTCTAAGAAGCAATGCCTATACCCATCTTTACTCAAAAAAAAACTAGAGACAAGTTAAAAAATCAGAAAATCGAATTTTTTTGCTTTTTTTCAAATGAACGATTTTTTTTGCATAAAATTTTCCTTTTAAATTTAGCACTGCGCTTTTTTCATTCTAAATAACGATTTGAACGATTCACAATAAAAACCCATCAACGTTGTAGTTCCATACCATATGACATAATCAATAGCCTATTATTTCACCAAATTTTTTTAATTCGTAATTCCTTACCATTACGTTGTGTTAATTTACTGAGTGACAACTTGTTAAAAACCTTAAAAAATTTTTAGACCGGATCGTTGGAAGGTCAGCATTTCCGAAAAACAAACAAACTAGTGTCCCTGTCCGAACAGAACCTAGTCGATTGCTCGGGCCGTTACGGAAACAACGGTTGCAACGGCGGTCTGATGGACAACGCCTTCAGATACATCAAGGACAATGGCGGTATCGACACCGAGGCCGCCTATCCCTACAAGGCGGAAGACGAGAAATGCCACTACACGCCGAAAAGCAAGGGAGCCACCGATCGCGGTTTCGTCGATATCCAGTCGGGAAGCGAGGAACAACTTCAAGCTGCCGTCGCCACTGTCGGGCCCGTCTCTGTAGCCATCGATGCCAGCCACGAGACGTTCCAGTTGTACTCTGAAGGTGAGCAATGCATTTGATTAATGTACGATGGTTTGTCGGGTCGTTATGCCCTGGCGTACCTGGTCGTTGTCAGAATATTGCACTTCGATAGCTTTGGTTGTTCTTGGGCTAAGCTCTGTGGGGGTGAAACAGTGCATTCAGTACAGGTCGCTCTATGTCATTTTTGGCTGTTTAAACATTTGTTAGGATTAGAAAGTTTGCTGAATCTCGTCTTAATTATTTCGATTAATATTTGTCACTCGTTCCAGGCGTGTACTACGATCCGGAGTGCAGCCCCGAAGAATTGGATCACGGAGTGCTCGTGGTTGGGTATGGAACCGACGAGAAGGGCGGTGACTATTGGTTGGTTAAGAATTCGTGGGGCACCAGCTGGGGACAGGAGGGTTACATTAAAATGGCCAGAAATAAGGATAACGCTTGCGGGATAGCCACGCAGGCGAGCTACCCTCTCGTTTAACGTAAGATATTAATTGTATACAAAACGGCAGTCTATATGGGTTGCCGTCGACTCACGATTATAAATAATTTTGTATGTAAACTCTCTCTACTCCTTAGGTCTATGAAAAAAATTAGTGATTCTCTTTTTATATTATAGGCTGTGTAAATGTTTAATTTGTAGATTGTTATGGATATCAATAAAGATTTAAGAATTGTTGGTTGCATTATTTTTTCTACGTAAATAAAATTAGTAGCAGCTATACATGGTGTTACAAAAAGGTAGGTCCAGCCGTTAATCCAAGGATTCTTTGGACGTTGACAATGATCATCTTATCAGCTGATGCGTGTCAGTGCTTGTCATAGGTGTACAAGTATACAAGAAAGACTTGCTATTTTTTAATTTTTTACATTCCCCACAAAATATTAAGATTTTTATAAACAATTTTGTTGTCATTTTAAGATATTCAGTTGAAACTTTGCAGAACATTGTACGATATTAGCACAATTTTTTTGTAATTTTTGTTGAAATCATTGAAGCATGAAAAGAGAAAAAAGAGATAAGTAGCTGTTTATTCCTTGATTTGTTTCAGTCACAGGTACACAAAAAAGTAGACCTACAACCTCCTTTTCCCCACACGAGCTTCAATTTTTTTATTTTATACCAAAATTTCAGTTGAATTTTAAAAATCTGAGATTTACACAGCTCCACAAAAAAATCGAAAAAATTACTTCTGAGGCCTGACTATGTCTACCATATGGTTTGGGGTCGCCGATTCCGGGTTCATATAATGCCATCAAATCAGGATTTTTCATAACCTCAAATAATAGGCACAAAAACCCAATAAATCCTCTATTCTTGACTGAGTTTTGAGGTTATGAGACTATGGGTTTAAGGCTCAAGAAGCACATACGGCTCGAACATACTGTGTTTCAGGGCTTAAACGCGCATAAGTCTCTTTCTTACCGGCGTATGAGGTTTCGATATTACAGGATTAAGTTGACACAACGAATAGAGGATTTATTGGGTTTTTGGGCCTATTTTTTGAGGTTACGGAATATCCTGATGAAAATTCAGCAACCTCGAAAACATATGGTAGACATGGACCTCAGAAGTAATTTTTTCGATTTTTTTTGTGCTGTTATTAACAAAAACAACTTTTTTTGCCCTACCATAATAGTATAAGCAACAAACAACAAAAATGCTTCTTTCTGAGTCGCCCTCTCTTGGATCAAACGATGTCGACTGCGCTGTCCCCTAGCCGTAGACGGACAAACTTATAGATATAAGCCGATAGCACAAAACATCGTACAATCCGTAGCTTAAAGAATCTATGGTACGGACCACAAAACAATAGATACAGACTTTACGAAATAATATAAAAAAATATACTAAATATGTAAATTTAGGCCAAAAAAGAAGAAGAAGAAGATGAAAATCTAGTGATTTTAATCAATGGTTATATATATAAATAAACCAGGATTAAAAAAAGTTTCAACTCAACTTGCAACCTCAGACTCAGAGTAATGCAACTGTTCCCTCCAAATGTCCAAATTGCACAAGATGACAGAACAAGAGTGAACCTTAAACTGATTTTATATGATTTAAAAAATAATTATGAAACAAACACGTGACTCAAAATTAGAAGAAAGTAGTGCTAGTGATAATGTAAATTTCTTAAATCCAAATGACACTTCTCATAAGAATGAGTCAACTGCTGGATCAGTTCAAATAAAAAATCCAAGAAAGTTTCTCCCAAGCCACAAGAATTTCAAATCTCCGCAGAGCAATACTCTAACAACCTGGCTCAAAACAGAATCAGCTAGTTCTAGTAGTGATATACAATCAAACCAAAGTTCTAAACCGAAGGATCAGGGAAATTTATCCAGGACATATAACGTTAAAAAGGATTCCAGTAATGAAAATGAGGACGAAAGACAGTCTTCTAGTCTCAATGGTAACATAATAGAAAAGGGGAAACATGCTGTGAAAAAAAATAAGAAAAAAGAATCTCAACGCGATCGCTCAAAAGGTTTGCTCATTAAAAAGCAGTTTTCAGAGAATATAAGCAATAATAGAGAGTTGAAGGAAAAAAGGAGTAAGTCTGAAGTTAAAAATAAATCATGTGCCTTAAAAGAACTGGATATTGCAGACGCTGATATGCTAAGAAAGAAAAATGTTGCAAGAAAAAAATTTAGAAATATTGTTACATCGCCCATATTGTTTACAAATTCAGTTGATGAAAAACTGAATAAACCCCAAACTAATACAAAAATGAATTCTAGTAAACAGCACTCTAGTAGCAGTTGCTCAAGTTCCAGAAAAGAAAACACAAAAGAAAATGTCATTACACCAACAAAACTAAACAAAAGTCCAGAAACTTTAAGAAGATCACCAAGGAGTATAAAGTCTGCAAAATACACCTTAGTCATTCCTGCAGCAAGAAAACTCTTTGAAAACGATGGGACCAAAACTGTACTTATGAAAAATACAGAAAAAAACAACTTTGGAACAGAAAAGGTTCAATACAGTTTAAGGTTTAATAAATCCAATAAAACCACAGAATCTTCAAAATTTAGTCAAAAAAATGGTACTGAAGATTCTGTAAAAACTAACAGTTCTACCTCAAAAACCAGCCACAGATCGAAACAGACTCAGAAAGATAAGATAGCTGTTACACCAACAAAACAAAAGGAAAATTCAGTGGATTTGAAGTCGGCGAAAAGTATGAAGTCATCAAAAGGTTGTCGTAGCCCTTCAGTTCCGAAAAAAACCTCTGACATGTGTCCACAAAGTAGTAGTAAGCAACTCACTTGGCTTACTAAAGACACAACAAAGGAAAATAATTCTGGTAGGTCAAAAAGAACATGTAAATCTAGTACGAAATATAACAAATTGGATGTGAAAATAAATTCCAAACTGTCAAAGAAACAAAATAGTGAAACTTCAAAAAATAATGCATCAGAGAAGAAAACGGCCATGAGAACATTGGATAAATATGTAAATAAAACCTCTAAAGACTCCAATAAAAGAAAATTTTCCAGAAGCGAGTCAAACGAGAGTTGTGAATTTCCTTCCTTCGTAAAGAATAACAAAAAATTAAAAACGGGCAAGGTCAGTGACTCGTTTCAAAAGTATGGAGTAGCCGTGCCATCCGTGGAAGAAATACTTAAAGAACAGCAGGATTTGGCGCTTTACAAAACCCAAATTGAATCCTTCAAAGATATAGACGACAAGTTCTTTGAACTACCATTTTCTGTTAAAGACCTGAAGAATACTCAAGTGATCAACGAAAACATATTAGGCTGTAAACATTTATCAAACAGTGACATTGAAAAGGCTTTCCAAACAAATTTCGATTACGTTTCGGCTATTTTTCATGGGAAGAAGTACAGCGAGAGGCACGAGAGGTTTTTCGAAGCTAACGTGAGAAGTTACATGTTCACCGACAAAGATTTATCGTACAATACCAGCACGATTGTCTTTAATTTTGAACAGAAAGAACTTATGATATCACTGTTAAAAGAGAACTTTGATCCTGACGACAAGATGACTTTGTACTTCTTTCAGGTACTTCTGCCGGAACTGTGCCTAAAAATATTCATGGATACGCATAACATGACGTACGATGAAGCTGTTAAATATTTGGATACTAGACCTGTAGTAGACTAACAATAAGTGTATTTAATGTCCTGTTTGTTACATTCTGAAAACGTGTGTGATATATTCTTGAAATGTAACCGGTTTGTTGTAACTTTACTTGAATAGTACCTGAAGTGTGTTTGTATTTATCTGTAATGAGCAAAAAAGTGTATTTATAACTTTTTGTATATTTTTATGTGTTAGACGTAAGGCGAAATATTTCATAAAGTAGGTAGTTTAAAAGTTATTTATTTAAACTTGTTAAATATATTAAACATAAACATTTCATGTTTAATAAAAAAATTGTTTAATTTACACAAAATTGCCGCCGTCACCTAGAAACAGGGCCGGATTAACCTATGGTAAGGCCCGGGACTACAAGCTCTTTAAAATAAAATGATATTAAATTTCAAAACCTTTTGATTCTTAACAAAAAAAAAAGTCCGGCAGCAACTTGTCGATATAAAATTTCAAAACCTAAACACTGGTTTCATTCTAAAAGAAATTAAAATTCATTTTGCGAGACCATGTGTTTTTCTGAATGCACTTGCATTTTGAACCAATTTTTCCAAACATCCTGTATATTAGATTTTTCTTTGTAATTCAAACTAGATCACATCAAACAGAGTAGGGATTTTTTGGAAACTATGATCCGGGATCAGATGGATCGCTAACAGTTGTTTTCCAATTTCAAGTCTTCGATATTGTGGGTTCTTCTAGGTCAGCGGCCAATATTGCTGTGTGGAAAAGTTTTATTCAAAACTTGAACAAATTATTCTTCATGCAACCACATACCTAGATATATACATGCAACAGAGATCTCTAAAAAGATTTTTAAACATGATAAACTTATTTTCACGAGACACGAAAAAAAATATTCGTTTTTTTTTGGGTCACCCTACTATGTATGTACGTTTTCAGCTACGAAATTTGAATAATTCCAAATATTTCGAATTTTCACCCCCAAGAACGGCAGTGACAACATTTTTAAAATTATGGCGATGTTTCGCATGGTACTAGCTATGTTCTGTACCCTGTACATATTTATAGTTTCGCGCAACTCACTCGGTTTCAAAAATACAAAACCTGTGTATGTTTTCAGCCACGAAATTTGAATATTTCAAATTTTCACCACCAAGAACGGCGGTGACAACATTTTTAACATTATGGCGATGTTTCGTACTGTATTATCCTGTGTAAATTTTGTTCGTGCAACTCTCGGTTTCGACAATGCCTATGTATTAGGTCTATTATATATTTTGTGTGTATTAGGGTGGCCCAAAAAAAAACGAATATTTATATAAATATTTGATACTCACCGTGCGGTAGTAAATTTTGCCTCGAGAAATTTTCAGTGTATCGTGATTTGTTTGTATTCTTTTCATCAAATTCAATTAAAAAAATTATAATTTCGTTGATATTTATTTTTGGAGGTCGTTCGAAAACATTTGAGGTACAGTACTTTTAAAGTTAAAATAATTGTGGGTGACCCTTCAGTTAATTTAAAATATCGATTTGAAATTTTCAGAATAGAGTTTTTTTTCAACTTACAAAATGTCAAAATAACGAGAAAAAAAATTAAAAGAAAAATTCAATTTTTGACGATTTTGGAAATTTTTTGAAATGTTGAGCGACATCTAAAAAAATATTTTTTTCCTGATTTTTTGAGGGGGCTCTTAAAACATGAACTAACATATTTTCACAAGGAACACGAAAAATATATATTCAATTTTCTTGGGCGACCCTACTATGATGTTTTCAACCACGAAAATTAAATAATTTCAAATCCTGGACTATTTAAACAATATTGATGACCAGTTTTCAACTTTTTAAAGTATTTTTAATTGCCTATTATCTTAGATATAAAAAAATATTTTTACATTTTAATTGGTACATAAGGACATTTTTGATAATCCATGATTGTAATGTCGTTTATCTAAAGGTGGGATAAAACCCGAAACGATCGTAATAATAATAGTAACAAAGAAAAAAAAAGTTTTTATAAACAAATTATTTTGCTTGTGATCAGTTTTCCACGCGTCAATATACAAAACAGAATCTCAATTTCGGTTTTCGATTTGCCAAGATCGTTATAGTTAAAGGGAATTTTTTAAGATTTTTCCGAGACCTCCAATTTTTCTAAACAAATACATGAAAAGTCCATGAAAATTATATGAAAATTCATATACTCCAAACGCACTCCCAACACACTGAACAGGCCAGTATATTGCGTTTATGTATATGCAACCAGGTATATAAGATTGAGTATTGCATACAGGTATAGTTTTTAACAGAGCTACGCATACCGTTAAAAATTTAAATTTACGCCGGTTAATTACTTTGAATCTACTAATCCAACGTTCCATGCCAAACTGTTTAATAATAATTAAAATAGGTCTACTTAAATCGGGAAACAGCAAGCAATATATTTATTAGTAACAATATCTGCTTGATAATGTTCGTTGCACCATTTACATTGACTTTTATCGCTTAATTATATTATAAATTAGTTACTGTGAGGTCACTCAGCCACCTGGGACCATACTCGTTCCCAATTAAATCACATAAATATTATGTTACATTAGAAAAATAGTTTATTCATTAATTTTAACATTTTTTTCCAGTTTTTCAGTCGCATACTTTTGTGCTGATTAACAACAAAATTTGAATTGCTTAGGAATACTTATAGATATAATTACATTGCATTTAATTACTTTAATTGGTTCATTGTTTAGAGAATCAAAAGTAACTTATTCTATCCCCTCTTACTCGAAACCTCGGTTTTGATACAGTAGTAGTAGATATATAATTAACAATTCCGCGGCAACAAACAGTTTTACACGAATTTCACTCAAACATCGATCGAATAACTAAGTATTGATGCGTGAATAGTGTTTCATTTCTATAAGACGATATGGCATATAAGGTGAATATGAAAATCAATATGTATTTTACTTTAATTACAGGTGTTGTTGATAGGTACACGCCACTATTTATAAGCGATCATTTTAAGAACTTTGACCTTAAACTTGTTTTAGTCCTTCTCAGAATATTCGAATCTTAATTCCGAGTCAGGATTTTAGAAGTAAAATTCGATATCTATAGATTTTATGCATATGCTGAAATAAAATGATAATTTCCAAGGAAATGTGGTACAGAGCGTTCACAATCTAGATAAAAAAAATTAAATTGGTTGTACTAGTTTTTTTTCCTAATTTCATAGCTCGAAAGGAAATTCAGAAAAAGATTTGCACACATTCCAGTGATAAAAATGCCAGTAAACCGGGTGCAAAGAATGAATAAGGTTTTCATGCGCGAAAAACATATTTCCTTCATCTAAGAGGGTCGAAATAATCCAGAGAAATTGTTCCTGATTTTTCTGGTTTAAACTTTTTATTAACAAAAATTTTTGATTTACGTAATAAAATATGAAAGTACATATTAAAGAATGTATTTCTATGCATTGAGAATGCTGGTGGCGCCAGGTTTTTTAATTTTTACAGTTTTGTAGCAAATAGCGAAAAATAGTATAATTATAAACAGGTTGTTCATTTAAATAAGAATCAGAGGAATTTGATTTGCATATGGGGTTTCCCCTAGAAGAAGCGAGCTTACAGCTTTGAAATGCAACCATTTAAAACGATATTTTTTGTTTATTTTACCGCACAATTTAATAATTTGAATACAAATTTTAAATTCGTGTATTTAAATGAATAATCACGTAAAAAACAGTTACTTCAGAGAGATATAATTTTTAGTTTTTATTTTGGTAAATTATTATTTATTACTACCTATTTCCAGGCATTGTCGTTGTTGTTGAGCAGTTAGGAGTCTTGTCTGTGAGGTAAAATATCTTCTTTCGAGAACTGTCATCAAAAGTCGACATTTTCGTTAAATTTTCAGTTGATAAAGTGTATCTTTTTTGTTACCTGGCTGCAAACTACTTTTATGTTCTAGAACGAAAAAGACTTCTAGAACATAAAAATACAAATATAAAAATAATCTGTTTTTTTAAATTTATTTATGATTTTATTAATTACAATTTATTATAAAGCAGTAACTATTATAAACACGACGATTACAATTTAGTTTGCACCAGATGTAAATTGAAAGTGCCGATATTGTAGTGAGTTAAATTTATAGTGCTAAGTACCATTTCGCGTTCTAAATACAAAAATAACTGTACACCAGGAAAATTAGCGAAAATAAGAGAAACTCGAAAAAAGTCCTATACGCGAGATTATTGTAAAATTGTCTAAAGGAACATAATACAAGACATCTCTCATCTCGTGAGTCAAAAACTTTTATTAGCTAACTTTACTATTTAAACAAATAAGTGAGGAAAACAGTTTTTTCACTTTGCAGGGAAAACCATCAATTTTAGCGAAAAGTGACTCTCAGACAGCTTGTAGGGAGTAAAATTATCTACAAAATGAGACTTGTTAAATTAAAATCGGTTAATAAACAAAAAAGTTATTGCAAAAAAACAAGAAAAGTGCCCATTTTTTAGATAATTTTACTCTATCGCA